GGTAATTTCTTGAAAAAAAAAAATCATTTTTATTATTTCGTTTAAGAGAACGATCTTTTGTATAATTAACCCCATCCTTGGAAGCAATCACAAAAATGATTTTTCAAAAAAAAAAAGAGAAATCATTTTCGGGCAATGATTAATTATATAAAGACAATTGAATTAATTGTATAAAATGAAATGCTCACCAACATCGATATTTCCACGACAATTAACGTGATCATTTTCTTGGGTAGACATAGCGCACAGCGTGTGTTCATAAATTCAATTTCTCGTCTTTATGCTTCAATTTATGATCTCATTGGTCTGTTTGTTCGCTGTACTGAAACAGATTTTTTTACGATATTCTTCGAACTCTTATATGTTTAAAATCACAGTTTATTAGTTTGAATTAGGAAATGTTCCATGCAGTGCCAGTTGATGATCCGTAAAACAAATATTCTGAAATGACATCAGCGAATAATCCAACAGACTGACATCACTTATTGATATCTCTTTCCTTCTTGTCGCTTAAGTATTAAGTGTATATTGATAGAAGCAAGAAGCTACAGCATTTATTTGTTGACCTTTATAAAAAATTTCTATAAAAAAATAATTGCCGTGTTGAATTCCATCGATTACTGCGAATAACAGTTATGTATGTTTTTCTGGTGTCTCCGATGCAAGCAAAATTTTTCGCTACTGATTTCGGCTTCAGATATCAACCAAAGCTTTTGTACACCATAACGTAAAAATCGTACTTCTTGCTTTTCTCAGAGATCTTGAACTGTATGTAACTGGTCCAACAAGTTAAATTTATTGTTGGCTGGCTGGCAAACAGTTTAATCTTCACAGTATAAAATCAGAAACGACAGTAAAACTTCTAAAACTTATCAGAAAGAACATTCCTCCTATAATACGTTATCCCACAAAACTTGAGCTCATCGAACTTCCTACAATGAGGAGAAAACATTTTTTTTTTTACCACCGAGTTATGAATTCGAAAATCTTATTCATGTGAGGAAAAATGGTGTCTGATCAGCAATCATAAAGAGTATGTATGCATTTAGCAAAATGGAATGATTCGTAGTTGCTTATTTCCCAATACTAATTTGTCACTAATTTGTTAATCAGTCTGAAATATTTCAGATCCCTGAATTCTGAAGAATGATCGGAATTAGATAATCACGAAGTAAAAGAAATGAATAATTTATTGAGCAGCGTGTTGAACAAAAAAGTTAGAAATTTTGTGCAACTTCTCAAACGTTTATTGCCAATAGTGGATGCTTAATTATTCTCCTAAGTGCTTTCAAGACAAGATACATATTTCAGAGGTTAAGGAAGTAGATTATTTCGGATTCGGATCATTCATTTGCTTTTCTTATAGGAGCAGTGCTGCCATACATCTACAAAGCATCAGCAATTTTGAGAATGAAAAAAGTCCCATGATTATGATTCGAAAATAGGACGGGGTGAATATGAGCAACATGAAGGCTACATACGCAACATGATTAAATATGAGATTTCAAATATATTTAGATTACCTTTGCAGAAATCGCGTCGTTTTTATCTAGTTTAGCGAATTTCGTAGCCGTTGTTTACTAATTAATCTCAGTACTGTCACTTTAATCCAATTAAGTAAGATATATGACTTTGAAAAAGACCTTCAAAATACACATTTAGATTGAAGTAATGCTGAATGGTATGAATGTGTGATAATCAACTTCCATTTCGCTGTCGTTGCACCATCAATTTTTCCTAATTTTTTTTCCCTAACTATTCACAACCTAACTACCTGGGAATTCTCATTAAATTCAAAGCTGAATAAAAAAATACTGTCATTTCGTAAGTCCATTGGGGATTGTCCCAAGAAAATGTACCTGAGGATTCAATTTTGCAAGTAGAAATAAAGCTACATCACAAACAATGAATCAGTCCGAATTTCATCATCTAGTGATGGCTAATTTTCAATTCCACTACTCTTTTTAATGAATCTGATCCTTTCTTTACTTCCTTGATCTGAGATTTTTGTCCATACATTTTAGATTCTTTCCTTTTCAGTACTTTATTTATTGCTACTTTGATATAAACAAAGGATGTTACTCGGAACAAGACAATTAGTAATGGAGTGAAAATACTTTAATATGAAAGAAGCCAAAGGGGAGGAAAAATAATGACAAGAGAGGAAGAGAGAGGGTATTTCTCAACGCATTTAAATCACGCATACCGAGCACAATTGGTTGGGAAAAATGTATGTTCACTGATATTGTATTCTTTGAGAACTGGTTCGCTCTAGCCGTGCAGAATTCTTCTAATGATGAATGTACTCTATACATAAAATTCCATTGTGGCTATTGCTTCTATCATTTAAATTTCAGAATAATAGGCATCAATTTGTTTAAAAATACTTTAATAGTTATTTATATCGATGACTTTCAGCAATTTTTTCAAGCATTCCAAATATTTCGATGACTATCATCAGCATTTAAAATGCATCTTTGAAATCTTAAAAGTCCATTTTTCAGTTAGAAATCCTAAAAAACGTACGCAACAATCTTTAACATATTTATGTGAATAAGGGATTTAATATAAATGAAAAGTGATGTCAACTGACTTCAGACGCTTCTCATTTAGAATTTTCTGAAAAGAAGTTGTTTTGGTTACGACAAAATTCTCAGAAAAAAAAGAGATTTAGTAACTGCTGTCCTAGTCAGTAATGTTGGCATTATCGATAAAGAACTTCGGCAACATTCATTTCTCACTCATCTATTCTCTGATGACATTCGGAAGATCTGACCTAAGGAGAATCAAAAATTCTTACACTATCATCTATATAGATCATCATATGGGATGAATCATCCGGAATGCTGAGTTGAGAGCCATCTAGCACCATACACTCTTATTCTGGTCAATTTTAAATTTGTTTCAGACTGATGGATTATTGTTCGTATATGAGCAAGCCAAACCACTGCTTATCGAAAGCTCTGTTTCCCCTGCTCACCCTTTGATCATCATAGCTATTCCAGATAAGGATTTAAACAAAGGGTTGAAGAGCAAGCAGTTTTCATTTTAATCGGTCATAATAATGGTTGACAATAGCCGAACTTTTAAAAGCTAAATTGCTGCTCTATCGATTTGAAAAGACGGTAGCGTAGTCGGCTAACAAAATCGGAAACAGTTTCTAAGATGTTGCACCTTTACTTTGATTCGTAGAAAGTGATATTTGCTTGCGCTGAGCTTTTCTATTCGCATTTTAAGAATTTAGATAAATTGTTTCAGGATTAACAGATGACTTTGTTATGGGAATCTGTACAATTTACAAATGCTGTCGTGCTATTGGCAGCACTTTTTACATGTTCTAAAATAGTCGTTATAAAAAGTGCACCAGCCGAAGGACTCGATCCTTTTAAGTTATGCTAAGTTTCTTATCAATTCATTAGCTTATTTCTTATTCGTTGTTTACTTACCTGAACTTTTCTGTTTGGGTGATTCCCAGGTCCATACCAATTTTCTATTGCGAAAATCAACCTGAGTCACTGATCCTTCAGAGTAAGCAGTTGAATAACCTACATATGCAAAATTTTATTGCTAAAATATATATGATGCCGTTTTAGAACTTCTATTTGTCTTTGATTTTCTCTCACAATCATACAATAATTTATCGCTATAGAAAAGACACTTCCGAAATGCAAAATGAAAATTAGAATACTTCTTAGGCGACTTCAAATTAACTGAGAATCAGCTACTTCATTTTTTCATTTTATTAGACGAGATCCACCTGTGATATAACAAACGACACATGTAAAAGTGTTATGCCACGTTATGATGCCTATTTTAGGACATTAGAAAGTCAGATTTTTATATTTAATGTTAACGAACTTTTTTCGTTAGCAGAACTGCTGTTACTAAAACAATAAACTGTACGGAATTAATGCTATTAATTGAGGAAACTTATGCTTGGCCAAACTTCTTTTTACAGTAGTGATTAATAAGAAAAAATAATACTACGAGCAAAGAAAGAAATGAAATCGATATAAACTGTAAGAATCATTATTGCCAGGGATTGGGAAAATGTCGAGAAAAATATAACCTACAGCGGTAATGGTGACTAAGAGCACATAGCTGCTAAAGCAGGAAACAAAATATTTTTGTTCCTAGCTATTTTGAATTTAGATGCATTTGCCAACTACAAGTTTTATGAGCGACATTATATTTTATTTTTATTCATATGAAAAAAAACATTTTAATACAGTTGAAAGGTAAATTTTAGTATGGAATTTGATGGGTCCTGCTGATTGATAAAAGGATTTTTTTTTTTATTTATGTTTCCTCCGACACTATGTCGATTTTTGAGCTATGTACAAAATATTTGTACAGAAGTCTAATGTGAAATTGTTCCTGATTGATAGGAGACATTTGGTATAAAAAAGACCATTTAATAAGCAGGATTAAGCGAGGAATATTATTAATTATAGAACAAAGAACTGGTATCGTCAAGCATCGAAGATGGTAATGATGCACATAGACATTACGGGATATCATTATTTAAATTCCAGTGGGAACATGTTAGTGCGCCGCTTGCCATTGCTTTTTGGTTTTTTACGGTCACCATCATGAAAATTAGTTAGTGTTTTTTATCTTTTGACGAATTTGGTCGATTGAATTGAAATTAATCAAGTTCTGTTAAAATTTAAATAAAATGTTTCCTTGTAATAGGAATTAGAAATCAATTCAGTTACAAAATTGCAGTTTTTCATCGTTTTCGAAGTATCCATAGTTTATTGCCCGATTCAGCATTATTAATTGTCCTTGGCTTATTTTTTGGCTATGTCTTTCATCTCGTTTATCCGGACGAGGTAGGCTTTTTTTGTTGGATAAAGAAGTATTTTTGGTTCCATCCGCTTGTTGCTCTATTTATAGAAATTATGCAAAGCAATATAACCTTTGCTTTATGAATTAGGTGTTTAATCAGTGCAGTAAAAAAATCATAAATTCCCCTGCTCTTAACCATCTTTCAGCAGATGTATCTAAAACCAGACTGGTTCTTCTTATATCTCTTGCCACCTATTGCGCTTGATGCTGGTTATTTCATGCCTAATAAAGATTTTTTCAGGTGATCATTCAGACGTTTCACTTTCTTCACCACTTATTAAGTTCTTTATAGTTTTGCAGTCCATTCATTTTCATTTACAGGAATTTTGGAACTATAATGACTTACGCTGTTGTTGGTACATTATGGAATGTTTTCGCAATCGGTAACTTCTGATTTGCACTTAATGTCATTATTTTAGCATATCGAAATTCCCTTATTTCCCCTGTCCTCAATTTCTCTTTGAATGAGAATTTGTCCTACAATTTCTGAATAAATTTTTGCGATGGAAATGTCACTTTCCAAGTGTAAAGTGCAAATTAGGACATTTCTTGAGTATCTGTGAATTAACACGTAGATTCAGTTACTCGGTTTTTGTTTTATTACAGGAAATCCATCTGTGATATTATACATGACAAATATTAAAGTGCTATTCCGAAAGTTCTATGTCTTTTTGTTCTTTCTTCCCCAAGTGTAGTGCTACTGCATCCACTTTCTTTCCAGGAATGACATTGTACTTTTTACATGATTATTTCAAAGTGCGTACTTCATTGATCGAACTTTTGCTGTTTTCGACTTTAATATCTGCTGTGGATCCAGTAGCCGTTCTTTGTGTATTTGAAGAAATTCATGTTAATCAGCTACTTTATATCTGTGTATTTGGTGAATCATTGTTAAACGATGCCGTAACGATTGTAAGATTTTAAATACTGAGCAAATAGAGTTGCTCACAGGAATTTTGAACGCTAAAAGTAAGAATGTAGGTTTCTGATATAAGTCACAAATAATTGGATCAGCAAATTACCGTCTTAACTAACTGCGATTAAATTTTAAGGTGCTCTATCAAACCTTCAATGCTATGGTAGATGCAGGTAGTCTTACCGGTGCAGATTATGCTACAGCGGCTTCTTCATTTTTTGTTGTTTCATTTGGTGGTTTGCTAATCGGGCTGATTTGGGCTATCTTTACTGGCTTTACAACCAAGTAATATAAGAATGAAAAAATGCCACTTACAAATTTTTTACTTCAAATAAATGCAAGTTATTCATTTACAGTATTGTGTAGATTTACAGGAGAAATTTTCAGGCACTCGCAGCACCTGAATGTTGTCCAACCGCTAATATGCTTGCTTTTTCCGTATCTTGCATACTTAACAGCAGAAATGGTTGCTATGTCCGGCATTTTAGCGTTCGTTTATAGGTCACTACTTATGGCTTTAAAAACTAAATGAATTGGCACTGTAGTTTCTGATTTACAGAATTGTTATATGTGGACTAGCCATGAAACAATTTGTTGTGGGCAACTTATCGCGGAAATCGCTTGTTACTGTGCAGTACTTTATGAAAACACTCTCGTCAAGGTTTAATTTTCATAAATTTAGATTTAAAATTGTAACATAAACTTGTTGTTAAACAAATAAATTTAAATCTTTAAATTTTTAGTTGTGAGGCCTTGATTTTCGTTTATCTTGGTATATCAGCTGTTTCAAAGAATCACGATTGGGATGCTGTGTTCATTGTTAGCACTTTAATTAGTTGTCTTGTTCAACGCTTTATCGGTACATCATTCATTTTTTCTTTTATTTTTTTTCAGAAGAATTAAATATTTACTACTGAATGAACTGAGTTACTTATTCTCCACTTAACACAATTCTTTTGTGTTTAGATGATGTGCATCAAGCTTTATATTGTTGCTTTTTTCGTTAGGATGTTACTGTTAATTTTTCTTCAGGCGTTTTCTTCCTTACTTATCTTTTAAATATACATCGAGTGCAGGCAATTGACCTGGTTGATCAATTCATCATGAGTTATGGCGGCATTCGAGGTGCTGTGTGTTATGGCCTCGTTATGTCTCTTGACCCTTTAGTCAGTTTACTTTCAAACTGTTTTTTTATTTTATTTTGATTTGAACTATATCTTTATCATTACTTGTCGTAGTTCTTCTCTCGTAACAAAGTATAATATGCTCAAAAAGATTCTACAGTTCCAAAAATTTCAAAAAGTAAAGTTCGGACCACATTCTCCCATCTTTTTATATTTACTCTTCACTTTTTTTCTTTTTCCTTATTAGTATATATAACTTTTTAATGTTCTGTTATATTTCCCCAATTCTGGACTTGAGAATTTTATTGCTGACTGGATCAAAATCGTTTTGAAAATTTTAGTCAATGAAGGCTAAAAACATGTTCGCATCCTGCACTATTGTTGTCATATTATTCACTGTTTTTGCTCAGGTATGATAAATTGTATTTTCAGAATATGTTAGATTTTAATATCACTTCTACCGTAAAATTAGTTGAAATGTTAACAGAGCATAGCGTATAAGAAATGCATCATGCTGAAAATGCTTCCTTTAGTTAAGTCCAATTCTACTCCTTCAAATAATTTCATTGACAGGGTGGAACAATAAAACAGCTAGTGAAATTATTAGAAGTTAAACAAAACGAAGTGCACAAGAAGACTGTTTTTGAAATGGTCGGCGAGAATGTATGTTTTATAAAAAAAGTTCCAAATTTTTTTCTTTTTTTTTGGACCTAATAATTTTCTTGTTATTCTTTAACTACTTTTTCATATCAGTAAAATAGCAGCATTGTACTTTGTACTAACACATTAAGGTAATCGATAATATGATGACTGGTGTAGAAGGAATAACTGGTTATCGTGGCCAATACTGGGTAGGCTTCTTTTTCCATTTCCTTTGTTTAAAATTGCTTTATTTCCAATAAGCATTTCTCGAATGTATAAGAAAATTTTTCAGTACCGTCAAGCATTCAATAAATTTGCGGAGAATTACGTAAAACCCTATTTAATGAGTAATGCAAAATCTGGAGCAGATCGTTTGGTTGATTATCATGAACACATTCAAGTAAGATGCTGTCAGTTGGTTTCAAATTTGTTTAGTGTTTATTCTTATCGTTCTAATTCATTTTTAGGTAAAAGAAGCAGTTCAGCATTTAAAAGTACATGGTAGTTTTGCCGGTTTGCCAACTGCACAAAGTAAAGTGAATCTTGAACAAGCGACGATCGAAACTTCACAACTGGTCTTAGGCAATCAGTAAGTGTGCTTATTTATGTACATCAACATTTTACTTTCTTTCATGCTTTCAAAAGAGATACTACCAAACTCCAAGTTTAGGTGAATGATTCTCTAATTTAGTTGATATTTTGATTTCTTTAACGTAAGTTAAATAAATTAACAGATTTACCAGGATATACACAAGAAACAATCTGGAAGCCAACCGTTTATCTGTGTTAGCTGAAATGCAAGTGAAAATTCCTCGTAATGAATCAATCAGCGTATTTCTAAGAGATAAATTCAATGAACTCAATTCGGTACTAATTTTCCAGTCACTTGTTTGCGTTTATCTTATTAACTACTTTCTTAAGACAGTAAATTTGGAAAGTGATCACAAAAAGTTTATAATACTAGTCAACTCAGGTTTATAAAATATAGTTTCTAGATATTTGCGCCATTATTTAACGATATGCTTCTTTTTTTAGCCTGTATCCACTGGTGTATACAGCCGACATTTACTAGATATTGATAACACACCACGTTCATCTTCTAAACGACAGGATTTTCAAAAAGTTTGTTTGTCCTTTTTTTCTCATTTTTTGTACGGAAAGTACAATATTATTGCTGATGGACAGATGCGGTAGGAGTTACTAATTTGTTTCTCTTGTATACTTTATTGTGAGCACTATTTAAAAGAACTATTATTCAGCAGAACCATCAAAGTTCTCTCTAGCAAATAAAGATGCTACTGCAACGCGTATTTACTTCATGAAATTAAACTGATGTTCTTCATAGTTTTAACTTATTAGTAGTACTTTGTGTGTCATTCCAGCAGTTTCATGCTTTGATGATGGCAATGCATGTAAATGATATCTGTAATCTGCTGAACCCTGAAGTATATAGGCTAATTTACAGGGCAATTCGTTTGACGCACTTGATAGTGAAGCATATCATATGACGTATCCGTACTGCAAAAATACTCGCACAAGACGACAGACAGCATACGATGCTGCTAATTCCGATCAAACAGATAAACACTCCAGAAAGACCACTATCGCATTGCATAAAAGTTCCGATAGTGATGCGCTTACTTTCAATATTGATTCTTGTATGATTTTGCTATATCTCATTGTTTCAAGAAAGTCTTCTGATTCTTCTGATTTTTTAAACTCCATTATATCTATTAAAATGATTCCTTAGTTGAAACCTTAAGCCTACTGAGACATTTCTCCCATTTTATTATTCTACTGCAAGCCTCTTTCAGCAAAACCTCGTTTTTTAATTACTAGCGAATCTGCTTCACCACCCAATGCACCACGCTTTTCGCATCGGAAAAGTTCAGAAAAAGATTTGCAGGAAAGTACGATTTCAGATTTCCAGTTTGTATCATGTAGTTCATTCTTCAAATATATTTTATGAAGCATTTACACCAGAAAAATTGTCGAGAGAACCTTCAATTTGTTTATTTAGTTTAGTGATTGAAACGAGCACTGGTAGGAAGTCGTCATTCTCTAACCTGATATTACCCGGCGAAACAACTACCGGCAAGCTTTTTAAATTAAGAAATTTACCTGTTTTTAAAATCCTCTCTGTAAAATTTTTAAGTTCGCTGGGTGAACCTCCGTTTTAAATGATTATATGCCTTTTGGCCTCTTTTTAAATTTTCATGAGTTTGCGCTTCTTTCAGAAAAATTGCAGTTAGAAGAAAGACCAAGGAAACTTTCATCAGGTCTCAAAGCCTTTCTAACGAAAGAAGCAAGTGAGAAAATGACTTTATCACCAGTACATGAAGATGATGAAAATGCAGAATCATCCAGCAATGAACGAGAGAGATGCAGCTGAAATGGTAGAACAAAATCATTTTAACTTTGTTGATTTAGCTTTTGAAAAATATATTTGGAATTCCTTAGGAATTCATAATTTTTAATCTTAAGATACTAAAGGATCAAAAATTATTGCTAGAGCACTTTGTGCGACCTTCGATTGTGCTGTTTTCATTTTTCATTTTCTGTGTTTTGTATTTTGAATTGTATTAAGTTACCCTTTTTGTAGGTGCTAAATTACTCGTGATTAAATGAAAAAATAAGTCTAAGTAAGATGATATGAATTAAGAGGACGAGAAAAGTCAATGTTATAATATCTTTATATAATATTGATTTGTGAATGAAGGTTATAATTGGATCTGTTTCTGCTAGCCACTGTTCGAGTGTAAATGATTCTTTCAACTTGCGAATCCTACAGTTGTGGATAGAGTAGTGTTCGGTTTTTTTCTTATGTTCCTATTTTTCTTTGTCCGGCAAATTCGCTTAATCTTTCTGAAATTAGTTATTTAGGAATTCATCAGCTTGCATTAGTCATAATTTCGAAATGAGACTTTTCTGAGTCAAACTGTGACTTATTTTATTATTTTTATATCTCTTCCTATTCGTCAACTCATCACTATTTCCTTGAATATCCATCAACTCAGTTAAAATTTACATATAGATATCAGGAGTTGTTGAATTATGAGGCTTTTTTGCAATATTGTTAGCTGATCTGAGCGTTATAAATTACTAGATTTCGCAAATGAAATGATTCCTTAATTTTCTCTTATTTTTTTTGCCAAAATTTCGTCAAAACGAAATATTCTGTCATACTAGTATTTCAATTCTTTTCTATAGTTACTCTCAAGTGTACTGTCTTCATCCAGTTTATATTTGTTTGAATTCGATCTAACTCCATTTGCTTTTACTTTTTCTTAAATTATTGTTTTTTGTCTTTCGTTACCATACATGTGAATTATTTCATCTTGAAATTCATCTTGGCTTGCCTTTTTCAATTTCGTAGAATATGTTACCTCCATGCCTTTTCGCTTTAGCTGCATGTTCCAACTACTTACTTATGCCACCTTGCCGTCTTATTAGTGGCCATATCAGAACTGGTTTCTAGGCGAAGTTTAAGTGGATTAAGAATGTTTGACTTCATTATCGCTCTAATCTTAATAGCTTGCAAGAACGAATACCAGAAATGTTTTCCAGGTTTTACTACAGTAATATATATATTAAAGGAATAAAACTTCACTGGCGTAAGTTATTTGTGGTAATACAACAATCATTTTGTAATCAAATTCTTTTAAATAATCTCGACTCCTGTTTACAATCTTGAGAATGGCTTTTCCTGTTCATGCTATTTGAAGTTGTCATAGTAACCTTCATTAGTTCCTCTGTCCTCAAAATCCTGTCTTCGTGTGCAAATTATCTACTCTGGACACAGAACTTTTGGTGTTGAAGTGAAATTCAAGATGTTCGAATTGCGGCAAGAAATTTTAATGTCTACTGGAAGCGTTTCTCATTCACCGAATAATCTATCAGTTTTCTTTCATGAAGCAAAAGATCTGACTCTTGCTTGTATGGTACATGAGGATCAGGTTCGTTATTCTTTCTTGACTTTCTCTTATATATTATATATCCTGTTAATGTTGTGCAGAGATGCTTTCTATTGCTTTTATAATGATTACTTAATTTGTCTGTATGAATTATTTTCCATATGTAGCATTAATTTCGCAAAATCATCTGTTAAATCGCGTTATTGATTATTATCAAATTCCTTCTCAATATCTAACTGGCGTCAGTTGAATTGACTTTTCTTGCCTTTTTAACGATAGATTTGTGGTCATCGCAAAATACAATAACAGCTTACGGTTTTATGGCAGTGCTTTAATAAACATAATTTTATAGAAACCATAAATCTTTGCTCAGCATTTTCGAGTGCAACCAACACTAAAAAGGTGAAAAGATATATGAAATACATCGGATTTTATGGTTATTCCAGTTAAGAATAAATTGAATTTTCAAGTGAAAGTAAAAAATTTTCAAAGAAATAATTTTCCTCTTGTTAAGGATGCAGCACTGATCTTCCATTAGGGTCAATAATCAATTCCAGATTGCAATATTAAACTGGGATCAAGGCCTGAATAGTTTTACATGTAATAATCTGCCAATCAAAGCTAATAACTTCGATGCGCCCGTTATCGTACTGCAAGCGAAATACTGCACGCCAGTGTGCAGAACATTTCCTCTTTTGGTTATTACTACTTCCAAGGGAGTAATGGTGACTTTATTTTTTTTATAAGCTCCATTTTTAAAGTTTTTAGGAACTCCGGTTATTTCTTTACCTTGTTTTTAATTACTAATGATTTTTCTGAATTCTATCTGTTTATTTATAGATTTACGATGTGAAAACTTTCAAATTACTTGCATGGAACGAGATGAGTGATGTGCGTTTTTTTCATCTATCCTATAGTTTAAATAATTAGTATTTCTCGCTAACATTTCCAGGTCATCATTGAGTATTCTATATTTCGTAAACATTGTTGAAAGAATTTCTTGAATCTTTCTGTATAGTTCAGCTTGTTTATCTGCTTGAAACATCTTTTTAGACTTCAGAACCAGCAACAAGAGGTGAACAAACATATCGCTTTACAAAAGGAATTACTTATGTAGAAAACTTGATAGCTGTTGGTAGGCTATACCATTTACGATTATAAAGAAAGAAATAAGAATTTGCAATCATTTCAATTTAATTCTCAAAACTTCGACGTATTCAAGCTTTGTTTTCAGGATCACATTTAGGAGAATTGCTAGTATTCAGCTGCTCAGGTGAAAATTCCGTAACTTTCAAAAGAAGTGTCCAGGTTTTTCATCCTTTTTATTATTCATTTCTGCATCGAATCTTTCTTTCATAGGGATGAAAATGTGGCAATTATTCTAAACAAGCTTTCAGGAGCATGATTTTGCAATAGCTGATGTAGCTACTTGCCGTTTTGATGATTTAACGTGTTCTTGCGATGTTTCGGGTAATATCGCTGTTTGGGTCAAAAATTTCAAAAGTGTTCAGAAAAAATTCAGTACTGGGTGTGTAGCTTTTGATTTGGATCTTTTGAAAAAATTGTATTGTTTGTATTTGAAACTTTCGCACTAATGAAGTCTAATGAAGCTATTATTAAACTCAGTTCTATCTTCATAATTTTGGCATAATTGATCATAACGACATGCTTTTAATTAGCATAGTTGCTTAAGTAAAAAAATGCATGAAGTTAACCTATATTTTATTTAATAGGCTTGAAATCAATTGCATCAACGTATTAAGAAAGCAAGTCATTATTGGCACTTTCGTGGGTCAGTTATTATTTTATTCGACATTGAATGGACAGTTAATGGCTGAAGTGAATGCACATGTCCGTCAAATAAATGCAATTGCTGTAGCTCCGGAAAATGCTTATGTATGATTTTGTTTTCCTACAATCGCCTGAAACATATTTCAGTTAAGTTTGAAATATAGTTTGCATAAAATTTTATATGATGTTAAATGCTGTTAAAGCCTGCTCAACAAGCAGCACATTAGCTTATGATAGTCTTTTTTTTTGCCCGATAAATTTATGGTTTATATAAATATCTATACATATACATACATAGTTTTCTATCTTTGCAGGTTTTATCAGTTAGTGATGATACAATGATACACTTATGGAAATTGCATATCCGTAAGCCCAAAACTTATAGAGTTCGTTACAATCAAAATTCACTCTCTTGGGAAACTGTTTTGGTAGCTAATTTCAAGAAAATAGTTTAAAATAGTAATTCTTGATCTATTATGGCTACATGGGTACACATGACCTTTGATGTGTTTTGGAAATTTTTAATTTATTTTATCCTTTTTAAGAAATTCTATCCAGAAGATTATACTTCAAAGTTTTTTCATACCTATTCGCATGTACTACTATTACGTCTACTCCCTTTAAAGATAACAAGGAAGCAAACTGAGCAAGTGCTCAGTGCTCAGTTTGTTTATTTTATCTGCCAACCTCTGCCTAAATTGTCACAACTATATTTCTTTTCATTCCTTTACATGAAACCCAGTAGAATTGCTGCTCTCACATTGATCCAACTATGATGTTTTAAATTTCTGTATTACTTTCCTCTTACTGCTTACTTCATCACCCTATTTAAAGGTTGAATGGCAGTATAATAAAAGAGTTGAAAACATGGCACTGGTGGGTGCGCAATTTATCAATGGTCGAGGAAGTGATTTTGTTGTAGCAGCTTATGATTATTCCAAGTTACTTTATTATCAGATAACGAAGAAATTGCCAGAAGGATTGAGGGATGAATTAAGATGTTGACAGCGTTGAGTTTTTAGATTGCCTTTTCTTTTAATTCTGGTAAAATTAATCACCTTTTTTTAGTTTTGTTGATATTAAGCATTCTTTGCAGACATTTTACAATCAAAATCCACTCTCTCAGAAAACTATTTTGGTACTAATTTCAAGAAAACTGTATTTGGATTTTCCATTAATTAGTCATAAATTAAACATTCTACAAAAGCAAACTGCCCATCAATTTGCCATTACTATTGTGCTAACTTTTTTTCATAGAACAAAAATGTCTGGAACTTACTCATTAATAAATGAAAAAAAGTTGCTCACAAGTCCTTTTCATTTTTTTCCGCCCCTCAATATTCTTGTAAAAATCAGAATCCATTTATCATATTGTATTGTGGGAGAAGTGTTAATAGAACTGTATTTGGATTTTCCATTAATCAGTGTGTACCGAAACGATGGGACGCGCTATTGTTGTCAAACACAAATAATCTTCCTACTTGATTTACATGCTCTGATGTGCACCACACAAAACTTCCTGTCTCTCAGTTTTTCGACAAGTCATTCAACGAAGCCCCACACTATACCACTGTAACGATGTTCACACAACCGGTTTTGTATAATTCTTACTACAAATATAATTGATTCTGTAAGTTCGATCAGCTTTGTAAGTTAGTTTCTCATTTTAATCACACTTTTATCAGTAGACAGTAACGTCTTATATCGACTGGATATTTTTAATGCTATCAAAAATTCACTAGATAGATGTTCGTTTGTGAGTTGGGTAATCTGACAGCTGAACTGTTAAATCATTTACTGCTCGATTTAAGTAAGTCGGATGAATTGAATGCAAAGTAATGTATATGTTTATCCTTCCTTCAAAACTAATGTTTGTATTGAAATTGCATTATTTCATATTTAATTCTTACATTGGTATTTAATATATATATATAAAAGTACATCGATAGAGCAGTGCCATTTTATGAAATGTTTCAAAGAAGTTGTTCTGCACTATCATCAGTTTTTGACGATGTCATAATTATTAAAGGATGCTTTTTTCTTCCCTTCTTCAGTTACTTCACAATCAGAAAGAGTTGTACTTGTCGAAATTCCCAATCAATTTGAAAACCAAAGAAATAATATATATATATATAATAAATCAGTAACTAATGAGATAGATACTGCTTAAAATAGAATGAATAAATATGGAAAAATGAAGATGAAAACATTGGCATGGGAGCGAGTGAACGTCCATTTTATTGTGTCTTGAAGCAGAATGCTTGATTCAGATACAATCGTGAATTCGACAAGGGTTAACGTTCTTTAAAATAGTTAAAAAGGCATTGTTCATTCTTTTCCATTCTCAAACATTGTCTTACACTATTCTGCCACGAAATCCAGTTCGGATGTCTTGTTCATTTGAAAATAGCAACAATTTAGGTAAAACGGCGGATACTTTTAAGGCTAACTGTAGAAAGAAGTGAAATAACTGGCTAAAGCTATGCCATTTGAATCACTAGCTATTTGAGTGACTTTAGCTTAAAAAAATTTTTTTTGGTTGACAATGGATTTCCTCCAGAAGATCGATGTAGAATTTATCTGGTATGTAACGATATTATCACTACAACAATAAGTTATACCTGATGAATACCTGGACTTTCCTAATCACATGATCAGAAATGAGCTCAGATTAACGCATATAGAATCAATGTCAGTGATTAGCAGATCTTCAAAATAGGTGACAAAGATGGAATTCATCTTGGTTTATTGTAATGAAACAATATTGCTCCCAATGTGAACATGATGATGATTATTCTATCAGTAATAAAAATACAGGTAGATGTAGATATTTTGATCTGTAGAGAATAGTGGAAGGAGGTTGTAAGCGAATAATAGCCTTCCAACAAAAGATTTCTTAGGACTTGTGCTCGAGTTGTAATTATGCTTGAACAACCAATTAAAATGCACTTTGACATACGCCTCAAAACACGGGCTCCTAAATCCTAAATCTGGAGCTTTTGATCCTAAGGAATTGTTTGTGTGTCTTCGTTCATCCCATGTAATATTTTGGCAGATAATCTCACAAATACATAAAAAATCACAATCCTTTAGCAAAAAAACGTCTTTCATAGGAACCGGTCATTTGTTGTCTTGTACAATTGTCCATGTTTGTTTTCCTTGCCGCTATCAGTTTATGTAATCAGAGTAAATACTAGGAACAGACTCTCTCTACTTTATTTCGTGTTCGTATTTAGCATCGGGTTGTCTTCCTGCAGTTCAGATAAATCTTGAAAGCCTTATCTGATTTTTCGCACAGATAACTTTCAATAACGTTTGAAAATCTCAATTGTTTACAATCTTCCACTTTCCTCTCTCTGCACTTCTCCTCGGTCTTTTTCTGCAAATTTTCATTGCTACTAACAGCTGCGTATATTGCAGCTAGCAATAAAGTGATTTTTAGCCTTTTTTACCTTCCTCTCTCTTGGAGCAAATGCAACTCACACATGTTTCAATTTTCATATTTTCTGTTATAAAATCTGCTAGTTTTCCTTATCCATCTCCTATGAAAGCTATGAATGAATTTCTTTCTTTCCTAATTTGATTGCGAATACAACACTTATGCTATAATTACTAACTTTTACAGTCTTTGTTAGGTATTATACGCCTATTTTCCCGTTTATTGCTCATATAATTCTTTTTCTTCTTGCTATTAAGTACTATTGACCGTCTCTTTATATTTTTAAACTATTATATGTTCACCACATTAATTGTAATTCATAATTATATTAATTCAGATTTAAATAAGCTCTGTTTTTGCTACCATAAAACTAGTATTCTCGATCCAAAAAATTTGAAAGCCTGGTAATTTGCTCAACTTGTAAAAACTTTGCTGTAAAAAAAATGCCTGTATACTGGAAAATTAAAATGCGCTCGAAAAATGTTTCTAATGAAACATCGGTTAAAATATCATCCAAACACCATTCATTAAAAAAATGTTTGTTGATTTAAATACGTCCATTCACCAATGAATCGTTTTCCAAATCGCTTGTATATATACACGTCTGAATGAACCTTGTGACCTGAATCATCTCTATATAAAAGAATTTGCTTCTTCACCTCTCAGGAGTTATTGGAGTTTAGATTTACTTTTCCTTAATTATTGCTGTATTTGCTTTCAAATTGTAAGGGAACTTTTGTGTGATTAATTATCGTTGTTTTGTGGTATTTTTGGTTTCTTTTGTTTTTAGTATCCTAAAGGGCGGTTAAAAAATTAACAATATGGAAGCGCTGCAACGAATGATGACAAGGCGTTTGGATGAGCATTCCTACAAACGAACAGCAAAACGTTTGGTGGTGGTTGATGAATATGCAAGTGATGTTGATTTTAATGATAAAACAGAAATTGCTAGTATGAATCCGGCCTATGATATGTAAGTTGCAAGACTATTTTTGACGCCTTAATTTTGTTTCAATCTAAAGATTTTAAAAAATAAATGGTTCGGTTTTACCAACATATCAAATTATAGAATCTACGGTGAAACGGTTCGGACAAGGAGCATTCCAAATGGCTCTACCACAAGTGCATCTTTTTCAGCAACAACATGTCCAGCCACTACTTCACCGAGTTCGATATATTATGTTGAACCCACTTCTACTGTTACTGCTCCAGCTGTTAATGACGATTATAACCGTACTGATAAATTATTACGAAAGGTATTGCAAAATATACCGTACCAAAAAAGTTAGCTTTTCCTCAAAGCGTACTAAGCAATAGCTAACGATAAAAAAGAGGTCTAATGCATTATTCTTCTGTTTGTATTAAGATCAAACAGACTGTCAGCAGTTTCACTAAAAGGCATGCCTTTTAGGTTTCATTGGCTATACGAAGAAAGGTAACAAGTCCGAAACTATTTATCAATGAACAATGCGATCCTTGCAGGATGAGTAATCGTGATAAAGAAAGTAATCATAACGATTTGAAAACTAGTGAGAGGATCGTTCAAAATGATCTGGAAAAACAAATTAGATTGAAATCAGCCAAAAAAATGGTGAGTGGTGAGACTTATTTTCATTTAAATGAATAACTTTCAACAAGTAAACCTATGTTAGTAAGATTATCCCAAGTTTTAATAAATTTAAATTTCAATAAATTTAAGCTACTTATGTATAGTAGGAATACCAACGATACAATGAGAATAAAATGTCCGAAGCGGTCAGACCATTCTGGCATTGTGAATCTATTTTGGACGCAATTGTGCGGAATTCCACATATCGTATAAGCAAACAGTCTTAGTGATTCTACTGAACGGATGCAAGTGCAACACCAATTTAAACTATACTCTGTTCTTGACTTATCTATGCAAATTTTCAAGTTTTTTTGAAGATTGATTTGGTTGATTTGTGTTCAATCGGTCGCAAACATCGTAGTGAGCATCGAAAACTTCTCAATGAAGAGTATGGCGATGATTATTGAAAAGTGAAATACTGTGATTACTTTGTATTAATAGCAAAATAACTATTCGAAATCACTTTAATTGTGTCACATGAGTCTTTAGTCTTTATTTTACTGTTACCACTAATAAACCGACAAGCAGATCAATCGTATAATTTGTCGAGGAGAAATTCTTGACAATTACCGTGCAAAATAATTGATTGGAACGTTGTCGTGTTCTTGCTGCGAAGTATTATCGAGCAATTGACGTGTGCGCCGAGCTCCTTTTGTTGCAACATCGTAATGCTTTGAAAGTTGTCACTATAGCAGTGTAAACACCTCTTCATGGATGTGTTTACAGGTATATAAATAACAAGTGAAAAGGTTTTTTTTTTTTTTTTTACATTTTAATTAAAAAATGCTTTATACCATTTAAACCTTCTTTTGTCTCAGTTCACTGGTAGTTGAGAAAATGCTGCGCTACCGGTGATAACGATATTCATTGTTGCAGTGTTCGTGATAGGCGGTTTTAGGAATTCAGATCTACAATTCTGCTCAACAGATTTTCAAGTTTCATAATAATCATACGAACTTTAGTCGAAATTTTTTTTCCTTCGAAGTATTCCATATAATAGATAATTATTTTGCCTTTATGTATTTATTATTATTATTATTATGTATTTTTTTCCAATAACTGAATGCTTGAAGAAGTCCAGTGGATTTTCTGTATGAATGCAGCAGGAATACATTTTGGACATTTAGAAAACTGTTGAGAATATTAAAAATGAAAATTCCTTTGTGTCCTAAGAAATTCTTGAAGGAAAAAACAACTGTAGTTTAATTTAATTCAATATATGGTACTATAATTTGTTAAGTTACCTTATTATTAATGTAAGAATTTGCAAGTAGGCTTATTTTCAAAGTATAAACAATTTCAGGATATAAAACCATTCTAAACTGTGATTTACAAATGACTGCTGGTTTAATGTTTTTCATGAAAGAGGAGCTGAGTAATATGAAATGTTAATTGCAATGTTTATCCTTCTGAATATTTTGATTTTACGCATTCGTATTTGTTAAAGACGTTTTCAGGAGTTATTTGTCTTCAATGGTAAGTAAGCTTGTTGAGCAAACAAGACAGTGTATCATCTATTGATTTTGATTTTGAATGTTATTTTATTCGAATTATGGCTGATAAGGACTTTTGCTAATTATTATAATAATTGTTGGTCTAATTCGTTTTTGTTAATTTGTTTATTATGCCCTTATTTTGTTTATGCTTGGCGGGGTCATTATTAAGTCTCGTAAGGATGACTTGGCTACATTATCTATTGTCGAATTTGCAAGAAATGTTGCATAAACCGATCTATATACATTAATTATTATAATAATTGTTGATGTTATACTGCTTATTTTAGCTGTATATGCCAGCTATTTGTTGCGTAACTAGATGCTTGCTGAATATTCGAAACATTTCAAGTTTGGCCGGAATAATCAAATCACATTATTTTACTTATTTTACGTATCCTAGATATAGCATGCAATTTTTCATTTGTCTACAAATCATTTTTCAGCACTTTTTCAGTTTATTTTTCAACTTCTATTATTTAACTCTCACTTTAACCACTAATTTTTTAAGGATGAAAAATAATAAATACTTTGGATTCAGCATGAAAGTCAAACCGTTCATGTTTTATTGTATTAGTTATTTCATAAATCTATTGTTTCCAGAAAAATGCTTTTAACTTGAAAAATCAAAAAAAGAAAAAAAAGAAAAGAATCAGGTTTATAAACTAAAACTTGCAATGTGTTTTTTCTTCATCGGATTTTAAATATCCAAAGTTCATAACCATTCATTGTTTTCGCATCTTAAGATTTAATGAAAAACGCATTCTGTGAGGAAGATTTGATATTTTAATTATTAATTTTGGGAGAGGTTTTTTATCGCAGGGCGATTCGTTGGTTGTAGGCGTAAATACATGGGGTAACAGAGAAATACAACAATTCCTTTATTAGTAAAAGCAATAACACAATACGTTGATAGAGAATGTCGTAAAAAACGGCACAAATTAAATTCAAATCCTAATAACCTTCGCCAGATGTTTGTTTGATCATTGATCACCAAACATTTTCGTATGTACATTTAATCTAATCAAGATGGTTAAGCTATTAAGTTTATTACATTCTCTTTCTCATTACAAAAGACCAACTGTTATCAATCTCTGTTTTTCATAAATCAAATCTCTCCCCTAGATCCCAATTGTCATTCGAGTCGGTATATAAGCTAACAGATATTCCACCAGAAAAGGTGCGTTGGGCATTCATTCTTCGGACCCATCCTTTTCGGTCATTCTTTGTTCATTCATTCTTTCTACGTTTGGAGTTAACCTTTAATAATCTTATTACTTATAATTATATTATATCTTTCACTGCGCATCGCTTTGCTGGTTTAACCCAAGTGTGAAATCAAATGAAATATCTGGCAGTCGATACATTTCACGAGAACAATTGAAATTGAACTCGTCTGGTTCTTGGCAACAAATTACACATATATTAAAATCTTTTAACAAGGATAACCCTTACACAGCAATTATATCTTACATTGTATGTGTTAAGATGTGGGTGTGGTTTATAATTAGAAATTTTTGTACAAAGGATAAATTGTCTAGACATGATAGTGAGTAACTTTTACAATGGATATCATCAAAGTACAGTGGGTTGTCTAGACATTATAATGGGTGGCTACTATAATGAGTTGCAATAGACATTACATGATAGATGCTCATAGTACATGAATTGATATAAGATCATAAGTCAGTTAAACCATTACGATGATTTGTAAAAGACATCAATGGATTGCTATATAAAGCATTGTTAACATTTATTTAGTGCTTAGCGATGTTAAAATCCGCGACACTGTTGGGTTTTCACGAAATATTTCGATATTGAACTGATTGTGAGATCTGAATCCATTTGACCCTCCACACTCAAGAAATATAGATTGATGAAAATGTGAAAGAAAACAAGCATCAATTGATTAGCTTTCTTATCTTGAATTATTATTTCAGACATCTATTGTCCTTATTAAAAGATTATTAAAAGTACTATGTAACTTGTGCCCTACTCAGTCATCTGAAAGCACACAATTTTTCGAGAGATCGTTAAACTCGATGCGCTCGTACAGCATTCATTTATAAGCAGTTTGTTACACTGAAGAATAAATTTGAATTATGAAGTAACTTTTCACTTGTAAAGCCACTTGTAAAGGCACCAAATTAATTAGCCAGACTGAACCATCAGCCACTTAACTAAAAACCAAGTTTTTAATATAATTACATTCAAGATCTTTTCTTATTAATCAAACGTTCATAAAATTCAGTTCTTATATATTCATGATGAATAGTTTTAAGATATTGAACGTATGTTTAAGCATAAATCTCACTATGACTTTTCATTTATCGAAAACTTTGTTGTTTTTTTTTTTTCCATTCCACTTAAAATTCTGAAATCTCTTCATTTTAAAAATAAAAAGGTCAAATATTTACCTTCCCGTTTTTCATGTTCAAAATTTGGTTCCAGAATAGACGTACAAAATAAAAAAAGCATAACCAGGCAGTACATATTAGTACCGTAGTATCATCATTTGCAGGGTCAGCACTGAATCCACTGATATCCAAATGCTCCTTATTTTCTCTCATTTTCTCATCATTATCTTCATTCTAATCATTATCATCACTAGTAATATCAATAGCAGTAATAATAACGGCAATATCAGATTGCTTATTAACTTTAGATCTTTTTATTTTACTGACCTCATTACCCATCATATACTCTTTACTGTATACGTTGTCTACCTTCCTAACAATGGTTTATATTCCATCAGCATTTCGCTGACTTTGTATTGCAATTTTAATTGGTTTGATGCATTTTCAACATTAAATATTCTTCAAATCTTTATCCACGTCTTTATGAAATCCGATAGAAAGGACCAGAACATGATCTTCGTTACTGCTAACAGCTTTTTAAGCCTAAATATTTTATAATCACAACACAAGTATCATCATGTATAATGTACCACTTCTTGTAAAGCAATTAGCACTAGCACTTTTTCTGAATTCTGGCCGATTCCTTTTTTTATATTCAAAAAATCGCAAACTTAACAGCTCTAAGATCCTAAGCACCTAGAATTCCAATCGAGTCTTCCTGAGTTTTCACAATTTTATTATTCTTCCTCTCTACACAATCTGTCGTAAAAACGACACATTTAAATTACATTCAAAACCCTAATATTTTTTGTCAAATATGTGATGAGTCAATCACCAAATATTCACCAAGCATTTGTAATTAATCTGTGCAATCATGCTGAATTATGCCAATTCCTCTTTTCTCACATAACAAAAAAAAAAATAACTAGTCTTGTTAACCAATCTTCGTTTAACATTCATGGAAATGATTTCCACCGGATTTCTGGTTATCAATTTATATGAACTAACCAACCTTTCCTAATAACCGTTTTTTGGGGTGGTTTTAGGGGGTACACCAATAAAACTTTAGTGTTTTATAATTATATTATATTCATTAAGCGTTGTTATAATGTTGATTTAGTGTTAATTTTTAATGTTGATTTGTTGATCTAATTACCCAAGCCTGAGCTCGGCAAAATAAAATATCCAGCAGTCAGTAAATTCCACGATACAAACTCTTCATTTTCACTCAGTGTTAGATGTACCTAAATTAATAGGAATTGAAATCGGCTTGAAGAACCACATTTCCTGTCATTTATTTTTATAAGAAACCACTGGTTTCCACGCCAAAGTATGCTTATTCTTTTGTTAGCAGTTCATAGATGCTCTTCGATGGAATGATTTACGATCCCAAATAAAAGCAGTCAAGTAGAACAAAACTGAATTTGCAAATGATTTCACTGTATCGGCGATGTAACGTTGAACATTACATAAAGGAAAGTGTGATTCGACTTTGATTTTAATGAAAATATTTTAATAATCATCTGAAATCAATCAATTGCCAGTCTGCACAAGAACCACACTAACAGATTGAAACTAGAACAATCTTTTTTTGAGCTAGAACAATTCGAAATAATTAGATTATGCACTATTGATAGGATAATTCATTAGCACGAAGAGCTTCGAAGAGTTTGAATTTTATATTTTCCACAAAAAAAAAAAAAAAAAAAACATATAGTATGCGGGAAGCAACACAAATTATTCCTCTTAGAAAAAGCTGATATAGCTGCTGAGCTTTATTATATTTTCTAAACATCGGGGAACAAAAATTAATTTTGTACAAAACCTGCTATCAAAATCGAAGAGCTTTTGTTTGATAGGATTGAATAATGAATTTAAGCGTAGGAAGTAATGAATAAGTAATTAATTGGAAACTGTTAGTTACATGATACGGAAAACTCATTGCTGTGAGAGGAAATACTCAAAGACTTTGTTATAAATCTCGCTCAGGAAATCGGAAATGAGCGAACATACTACACTTGCTGCTCAATATTTCCTTATTTCTGAAAAACTGGATCTTTGAGAAACTAGATAAAAATCAAACAGTGAAATGAAATAAAACCTTTCACCTCAGAACTCAAGGAAACTGAGCTAATCTGGAAGTTAGTCAATATTAAATTGATTTCCTGAAAATTGGAACAAATTTTTTTAGAACTAATCGTACTAGCTGTTTGAACACAATCGAATCACTTTGTTATAATATTGAGCAATAATTGAGCTACAAACACTCACGTAAATTAAGCAAAGTTGCCAATTCAAATATATTTACCGACATGATCGAATGTTTTCTTTTTATCATATTAATCGGGATGCGATGAGTTGATAATTCTATGATCTCATTCAGCCATTAATTTAAAAAGTTTGAAGCTCAAAATATACATTGTTTGTTGGGCTTAAATCGGTCGACAGCTTGTAACATTCTTCTCAATTCCATTTTGTATATTTTTCACGCTCTTACAGATTATTTTATCGGAGGGCAGAATTTAAAAGCACATCTTTCAACAGATTTATTAAGAAAAAATGGAATAAACATATTTCATTAAAAGAAAAAACACGTTGGTCAGTTTAAATAAGGTGGTTTTTCAAATATGCAACAGAAAATTTTGTTTAGTAATGAAAAGAAAATACTGTACTGTCATCCTCTATAGAAAGGGCATCCATCCAGCAAACATTCGAGCAAGATTTTCTGGGTCACTTGCCTCTTTAATCAGATGAGAAACCTAAGAAAACTGCCACGAATTTCTGGGATAAAGAGTTTCACTTTTCAGTGGGAAATTGATATTTTACTTTCATAATGTGAATTACAAAGTATAATTCGATACTAGCGATGAACAGCCAACAAATTAGTATAAATAAAATTCAACGAAAGAATTTCGTAATTAAATATGAAAAGCTACCTGAAGCCACTTTAACTCTAGGTGATTACCTGTTGCGAGGGATCCATATAAATTCTATTTTCTACTCCTGCCAATTTATCGCGCAATCGGCAAATCGCAAGGGTTGCAAACTGATTGCCATTTTCGCCACCAAGATATTTCGTTAGTGGATCATGTAAAAGTACCAGTGCTAGACCAATTAATGCCTGTAAGTTTCAAAAATGTTATTTTTAATGGTACTTGAATAATACTAAAAATTTTCTGACAAACCTGAGAGTTCTTCCGCAAACAATCCAAAGTGTCCACTGCTATACTCCTAAATTTTCCATTGATGCCCTCAATCAAAATGGGATCAACGATTTCTCTTGTCAAACGAAAAGGTACTCGCTCAGGTACTAACAAGTTGCGTTTACCAAATTCAAATACGATTCCTTAAAACCACAAAACAGAGCGTTAAAATAATTGAGGATTTAATACATATGTATAAGAATAAAAAAAATCATGGAATCAAAAAACATTTGTGAAAAATGAAACCTTTGGAGAGAAATTTTAGAAGCAACATAGAATCTCACAACAATGTAAAAGAGAAAATTCATAATAACCAAGAAAAAATAAATCCAAAGGAAAAATTCAGAAAAAAATCATTGTAAGATATATAAAGTATAACATGAAAGCTAAACATTACCAAGGTCGATGTGAACAAGTCGACCAGTTTCTTTCTCAACCATAATATTATTCAAATGGCGATCACCCAAACCGACTATATAACCCACTGTAACAAAAAAAAAAAAAAAAGAAAAAACACTGCATTTACTTTTGTTAAAGAATACTACGACTGTTAATAGTTCAACATATTCATCCCAAAGATTAATGCTATAAAATATTTGTTAATTACAATAGAGAAATATACCTATAGACCACCGGGCTAGAGATATTGTATAGTCTTTGATACGAAAGAACCACTCAAATGGATTCGAGAAAGCATCATAAAAGAAATGCCGAAATACAGGATGAATGCCCTTACATATTTCTTCGTAAGTTTCCACAATATTGGATTGATTTGCATGAGCCTATACCATTATACTATATACAGAAATCATAAAATAAGCACATAGAGCAACTAAGAAAAACATTTCTTGTCTCAGGTCCACGACGAGAATATTGCATTTATTCGCATCGTAGGATCATTTACTAACAGATCAAAAAAAAAATTTTCTGCTGATCAAAAAAAAAAAAACCTGTGAAAGTTTGAAGCGTGCAGTAGCTGCCGTCATTTCAAGAGGATAAAGCTTTTTGTGCATACCACTTTTCCGATCTGCTCCACAGATATAGTTACCTAGACCAGATAATACTTAATATTTCAAATTACATCTCACTGATTAATATATTTGCTGAGATCTAATTTAGATTTATGTCTTAATATTTTTTAAATTTGCCTTTTGTTCCACAAGAGCTGAAAAACAAAAATCTATTATGATTTCATTTTGATCTAACCATACGGTGTCTGTTGACCCAACACACGAAAATTTATCCAATACTCACAAAGCGAAACTGTCCCCAAACAAAATTCGATTATTCCAGCATTCGAATTAATTGGCATGACATGATAAGTACGTAGTGGAAATGTTTTTCCATCCATCAACAGAATGTTCACCACCGTAAAAAGCTGTTCAACAAGCGAATCTTGCCGTAAATCCTCGTTCTAATACATTTTATACAAACTAATAAATCGTGGCATGAACACAAAAAATGAAATTCGTTAAATGAATTACCTTGAAAATTAATTTGCGAACTTTTCCATCACTTCCAACCACTGTAACTATTGTTGGTTGTGTTAAACCATCTGCAACTATGACTGTTGATTCAATTTTCACGAAAGTGATAAGTTGCGAAGAGTCATCAGTCAGCTGAAACATATCAACTAAAAAAACGAACGCAATTTTCTTAGAAAAAAACCAGAAATGATATCCTAAACCACCACAAATTTTTTATTAAAATTAACTGACCGGTTGTTCGATAGCCGGTATGGGAACATTTCGAAGGCTTTGAATTTCATTTAACAATACAGAACCCGTAATGGAAGCTCTTGATCCTGTAAGAGTGCATAGAAATTGGAATAAAAAAAAAAAATCATAAGAGAGTAACTATTTTACACAATTTCTGGAAACTAACTTGCATATTTCTTATTCTGAAACGCTTTAACAGATGAAGTTGCAAATTGTGCGTATAAAGAAAATGCTTTTTGCATGATCGTTATTGGATTTGTGAGTGATTTATCTTTCGTGGAAGCATCTTTTAACAAATCTTCTACTCGATGTAATCGACCCTCAAAACAATAGAATTACGATGAAAATTCCTCTGTCAAAAAAAATTTACTGGCTTTGCAACATTTGTCAAGTGGGCCTAAGAAACTGAGAAAACCTGATAATCTGCCATCCCATGCACCGAACTGGTATAGAAGAGTATGTGTTGAAGGACGTGATATGGATAGTCGAACAGTGCTGCTGAGATCATCTGCAAATTTTCTACTCAATAATTCCGGAATTGTAGATAACTTATAAAAACAGCAATAACAGTAATAATTTCACCTCCCTCACAATTGGAGCTAGAGGCGCATCATCGAAGAAATGTGAACAAAGGTGACTCATGAGAGGTATCCAAGGACGTGATTGAAATCGATTTAAACGTACCTCAATCAGCAAAATTATGTAAACATTAATCAAAAGCTAGTTGCAATATTGAGCAAAGTTCAGTAACATAGACAGAATGGTCGATTTAGAATAAAGAATTTAAGCTTCTCAACAGATTTTTGCAGTTCTCATTTCTTGATACATAAACTTACCTTCAATGGCTCCAACAAATTTTCGTTATGTTTGGCTTTAACGAAAAATGATAAAATTCGGTAAGGAATATCCGCAGCACTTGCATCAAGTTCTAAGGATGCTAGATAAGCATCCAAAGCCGTCAAGATCTCAAATAAGCAAATAATAACCCAACACATTTCTCGTAAAAAATTCTGATTGGCAAATTTTAGTAAAATTTCTGCCAAGCAGTATCAACAATCATTAAGAATCTTGTTTTAGCTACTTATAAGAAAAAAAAAAAAAAAAAAAAAATGGAATGAAGGACAAGTTCAGAAACCAGGGTATTTCTGTCGTTACAGCACTGCTCCAGTTCCTTTTCTTCAAACATCTTTTCTTTTCTAATTCGCTTTTCCTCAAGCATCTTTCCATGCTTCAGCGTTTTCCCTTGTCTATAAATAAGATGTGAAAAGATGTGTACGAATATTATTAATATTATTCCTCCGAGTTCCATCTAAATTTATTGCCAACTTTTCTCTTGAGTTTCATCCAAATGGTTAATATTTTTCTTTAAAAAAAACGAGCTGCTAGCGACCTACGCCGAAACAGTGGCAACAAGCTGCGGACAACAGAACAGAAAAGAAATACAAATGAGCTCAGTATCCATTAGAGTCTTATGAAGATCGAAGAATGAAACTAGGATAGATGATTCTGATAACCAGTAATTTGTTCTTTTCTACTCAGATTTGAATAAAATATGGATTCAACAATGAAATTCATCGAACATGATAGCCTGAAGCTTTTCTTCCTTTATTGCTTCTAGTTCTTTTTCCCAATTCCTAATTGCTCGTTCTTTAACTTTAAATGTTTCAGAAGAACAATAATCTTCCAGTAATAACAATTTCTTTTCAGCATTCATTGCAAGCTTCCTATAAGCTTTTGCTACCAACAAAACATTTTCATATCCACTATCCAATGCATTTTCCACAATCTGAACAATGCATTTGTAAATGACTAGCTTTCCCTGCGAAGTAGTAATAAAAAATACAAGAAGTAAATAAGGCAAGATATATTTGGAGCTTTCATTTACATAATAAATATCTCTCTGATGCGAATTTAGTAGCAAAAATAAATGTGATTAATTATATAAGAGTGAATTGAAACAAAATATTTTAATTTCGAAGATATATACCATTTGCAAAGCTTCAATGGCTAAATCCGATCTATACGCTGCTACATCAAATTCAGCTAATTGCATTCGAGCTTTGAGCGAAAGTTCAAAAGAATTACTGCTGTAATGATCGCAGATTGGCCGTGCGGAGCAAATCTGCGACAAAAGCAACCGAGCAGCTTCTTCGTATCCACATTTCTTCAAGATACGAGCTTTTGTGATGTCGTATTCACGATATACATTCCCATCAATATCCATAAATTTCCGATACTTTTCAATAATTTGAAGAGCACGCTGAAAAAAAAAAAAAAGTTTACAAAAGTGAAAGACGGAAAAGAAAAAACAAATTATAAGGCTCACTTCGTAAGCATTTTTTTTGCAAAGGTGCTCGGCTCGAGCCACAACCAACGGAGTAAGGATTCGTGCTGGAACACGTCCATCTCCATACTTGCATACTATCCATGGGCAACTCAATATAGAGCCTCGAACTGGAGGTGTGTTTCGCTGCACTAGATCATTCACTTCACAACAGAGACTTAAGTCGTTTATTAAGTCTCGAGATACAATCCACGATTTGGCAATTTCACCACACTTACGCTTGCTGAAATAAAATTGAACCATGGCGAGAAAATTAGAACAGCAAAATACTTGAGTTTATCTTTCAAACAGAAGATAAAAAATAGAAGTCACTGAAGACTATTAAAGCATGATGTGCAAATACTCACATGGCAATATCAGATAACAACTGAGATAATTCCAACTGTTTTTTTAACTGAGCGTACATTATGGAATATATCTGATGACCAGTGTTTCCCTTGGTGTATCTTTAAAATATAGTGGAAATAAGATAAAATACTGCAAAAAAAGTTTAACATAAAATTTCATAGTCCTTATGATAACAATAAATTGATTAACCAGTAAACAGTACATTTTTAAGAAACCTTTATCCCATTGTTGGAGTTCAACACAAGCGAGACTAGCCATTTCTTGGAATTCCGATGGAACATCCAAACCAGCATAATAAAATGCTAAAGACTGAAGGTTTTTTAAATCAGTCGTTGGCGCTAATGAAACCAAATGTGACCAATCACACTGGTTTTTTGCCAAAATCATTTGACACTGAAATCATTAGCTAATAATATTTTTTTTTTTTTGGAAATGCGTATTTGTCGTCTAACGTCAATTTAAAATTCATGAATTTAGGACTTTGGAGAACAAGCGGGTGACAAGGAACAAATTTAAATCAATAAACCATTGAATTTAAACAAGAACCAAAGCTATACTTTGAGCTGGGAAACTAATTCAAATTTTACTTGGTTATTATCTTTTATTTGTAGAGAAAGTGGACGTAATGAATCTGCATCATCCATTTTTATCAATATCTCCATAAATAATTCGGCTGGCTTGTCAGAATTTTCCTTTCCATCGAGCATGTCGAAAAATCCGCGATTTTCATTCAAAATATGCATTACTGGCCGTATTGGATCGCTTAAACTAAAAATGAACTAGCAGAATATAAAAAGGAAAAAATTATTTTCATTATTCAGTGTAAACAGTTAAAGCATTTAAACAGTTTAATCTATCAATATACATAACAACCCTACTGACTTTTCAACAGGTTGGTAGGCAAAAGAAACATGCAATCAACCACGATCTGAAAAAGTAGTGAACATGATATTTACCGATCGAGGTAGCAATGCAGAAAGTAATCTGCATCATTCGCCATATTGATTTCCAAACAAACTTTTGATAACTTCGATAAATCAAATGGTAACCTCTGGAAACCTAGCTCTGATGCCAAATTTACATGTGCTTGTCGAATACATGCCACTATACTAATTACCAGTGGGTAATCTACAATTTCCTGGTGTGAAATTTCAAATGTTGCGTAAAATTTTATCTGAATATTTAAAAAAATGTTTTTAAACAATTATACTTATAAACTTGAATTTACCATTTCTAGTCAATCTTTCAGGAAAATTCGTAAGTAAATAATTCACATCCACGCAAAACTGTGATATGTCATGCCTTTCTTTGTATGCCGTAGCGAAAAGATAAGGTAGCAAAGTAAAAGCCAAAGCAGGCTGCAGAAAAAAAAAGCCATTAAATGTATGAGGAGAAAACTATACATTTTTCACCTTTTGAATACCAATATAAGTATAAATGACAGCTGTAATTGATGTGAGAATGGATATTATAGCATTATTTATAGCAATGCATCTAATGGTTGTAATATGACATCCACTGGGCAGAAATATGGACCTTGAAGAAAAACCACGTTTTCAATGTTCTGTTTAAATCATCTCCGATAATTAAACCACATACGATCCGTATCAAATCGGTTCATCCATGTAATATATTTGGCATTAGCTTCAGCTCGATAAAGCTTTGCAAATTATGACTTAGTGTATTTCGATATTGTCATTTCTATGTCACGATATCTAGATATAATTTTATGAAAGATGGTTTAAAAATAACGAAAAAAGGGAATCTTGAAATAGATTAACTAACAACATAATTCGCGATCTTTAATAAAATACTGGCGTATGATAAATGCAAAAGATCAGCAAACTGTTTAACGTAATATAATACGAAAGCTTCTTCATAGTCGCCATTTCGTGACATTTCCTGACATTATCAGCATTGGTAGTTTATAAAGGAAGTTGTAAAAATTTAGAAAAACAATAATAAAAATACAGTTACAATCATTAAAGCAGTACTTAGCAAATCGAAAGTTAGGGTGTCTCAGATTGTAGTTCTACATTTGCTTCCTTCTGCAAAAGGACTCACAGAATCGTTTTCAACAACCGCATACTGGCTGCTATTGTTGCTAAACGCATTATTCACATACACGTTAAAAGTGGAGCTTGATAGGATCTGACATATCCACGAATAGACTTCGCATGGATATAACTCACTAAAAATTTATTTCGTCCGGATTTACGGATAGAAATTGTTCAGAATATTTTTGAGACATTTAAGAATTAAAAAAAATGCAAACTTACAAAGGGTTGAAAAATAGTTCAAGCAAAGATAATGCAATCAGTTCTTCCAGCTTTATATCCATTGGAAAGATATGATAATACGAGCTCACGCAAAAAGAATCGAAACGAGTTAAACACGGAGCAATGAACTTTCGCAAAGTGGGGTATTTAGACCAAATTTGTAATACTTGACCTAACACCTTTACTGTGTCTATGAAACAAACCATGGTAAATACAGTGGTTACTGATTCTAACAATAAACACACGAAATGTAAAAAAAGCTAACCTTGATCGTCCAATTTGCCAAAATTCTCATACAACCACTTCCAGTATGTCTTGCAGAGTAAAAAATTGAATCGACCAAGAGTTTCCTAAACATCAGGTTTGTTTCAATTAAGCAATATCAAAAAAAAAAAAAAAAAACCACTCATATAGTTTCTTCACGTGACTTTAAAATAACTAATGAGGAATCACAATTTATTAGTTGATACCTTAAGCAAATGTTCAATTCGAAAATGATTTTTTTCAAAAATTTTCATGTTTATTCGTGCCATGATTTGCTCCTTACAATCGGAGTCATCTATGAAGACGTCGAAAACACAGTACAATTTTTCCATTGCCATGTCATAGTGTAATTCTAGTAGTAAATCATAAAGATCAAACCAGCTTTGCAGCAAGTAAGTGATGCTTTCAGTCCTGAAAAAATATTGAAAAAAATAATGTATCAATTAAAGGAATTTCGTTAAAATATTATCTCTCATCTACTCTTTACCAGGACATATCAACACATATGTTTACCCCTAAAAAAAATTGCAAAATATCAGAATTCTTTTCGATTTGTACTTGTGAGAGAAATGGAAACGGTGAGAGTCCTTTTCACTTTTCCACTTTTTTCTCTCACAAGACAAAGATAAGCTAACGGAGGATAAACACGATTGGTTACATTGAAATCTTCCCTAAAGGAATAAGGAAAGTTTCAGTTATTGTTACATCAGATTATAAAAATGCACCAGTCTTCATTATATTCATTACGAAATCCATTTATTATAATAATTATATTAAAACACATTAATCCGGGAATATGAATATGATCACTTCGAAAATTTCAAATTTTTTTACCAAGCGCTCGCCAAACAACTTCTTGCTGCTAGTGAACAAAGTGTTGCACAATTTTCAATAATGAAGAGCTTCATCGAAATGCTGCATGTACTTAAATCACATTTTAAGAAACTTTTCAGAGCTCGAAATATCAGAAATTCGTATCCCAGGAATCGGCAAAATCGCAGTAATTTTCGTAATTTCACAAAAAAACTACACAGATTCATCGTTATAGCAGCAGCAAACGATTTCTTGAAATCTAGTCGGTCGAACAATTCGCTCAATCTTAAATTTCCTCCTATTAAAGGGTCACAGAATTCATCAAAGATAATAGACTGACTCAGCCAAAATCCAATTTTAAGATAAAAACTCACCCAGAGAGATGGCTTAAAATAGCTTACATATAAAATCTACATTAACAGATATAAATCAGGACTGACGTTTTTTCTTGAACAAGAAAAAGTATATCCAGATACATCATGTGTGATGTGTTCACTTCTTCTGCATTTACGTAACGTTGAAATGGTTGTCTATTAGCAGAAATTGCCCGTATAACTTCAAATCTCCTGCAAAGAAAACCAGATTAAAAGCCAATATTACCCTGTATGTAAAAAGTAATACCAGCATACTTCAAATCATCTGCCGGTAGAAAACCGTTATTTGGTGAGGGTTGTACTTCATAACAAATGGCAGCTGCTTCAAGGAACAAATCGATTATTGCATCGAATGATGGAAAAATCCTTATCAGATGCTGTAAATCGATGAAATCATTTATCTAACAAATAAGCAAAGAACTGAAGCTAATAGAAACATTCAACTGAAGATGATTTGTTGGGACTTTCTACAGAGCACAACGTGTGAAACAGTGTTTCAGAATCAATAAAAACGATAAACTTCAAATACCTTATACAAATATGATGTTCCCATACTAATGAGAAACGCTAATATTCTGAGATGAATTCTATGCTTCAGTGGAGGCATATATATATTTTTGACAACGCTAGCGCGAAATTCGTCCGGGAGATCAACACTCATGACAAATTTTGCCAAACCTGATTGGTCCAGCCAAACTGAGCAATGTAAACACTTGTGCAAAGTAGCTAAATTATTGAATAAGACACCGTAAAATTTCCAGTCTTCCACCTAAATTCATATTAATTCATACTGAAAAAGTTACGCACTTCACAAATCATAAGCATGTTGAATAGTTAAAATTTCTAGAAATTCAAGATGGAATGTCATTGGAAAATGATCTTTTACCGGAAGATATGCAAGGATTAGCTCGGTAATAATAAGTTCATTGACATTTCTTTCCGACTTTTCTTCTTCACCTTGTAACATGGCTGTCAAGGCGATTGTTCTGAAAACTTACAAATGTCGCGCTCAATAAAACCTCTTAATTCTCTTGATGATTGATGGTTTAAAAAGAACCCTAAACCTTCGATGATGAATGAATAGTAAAGACATACATAAATGTGCTAAACATAAATCATGCTTATGTGAAAATGAACACAGAATGAGCCACACTTTGCATGTCTTTTTCGTAAATAAAAATCTAACCGCAAAGTGGTTATAAATTTCCGCCTTTCCACTACAGTGCCATGCTGAATAAATGGTTCAACAATAAACACGGCTTCACTAAATGAATTGCAACAGCGAACTGCTTCACTAACATAAGTCGACACAATATCCGATGCTGCATCAATTCTTCCTGATAATTCCTTATTCCAGTCCTAGACCAAAGTCTCACAAGTTCAGAAGTTTTTACATATAAGTTAGCGGAATTTTTAAATCCAACAAAACGTCACTTAACTGCACCATTATTAGTAAAGAATAAAGAAGAACAGAGCATCAAGGGAAGAAAATTAAAAAAAAAATCACCTGGACAACTTTGAATTTTAAAAATCACCTTTTTATCAGCGAATCGACATTTAACGTCAATCAGTTGTTGTAACAATATTTGTTTTAGCTTCAAACAAATCGTATTTCTTAATTTTTCATCAGCCGCCTGCCAGCTTCCTCTAACTCCTAATGGTAGAAGCCATTCATCAACATCAGTCAATTTATCGTTGCGGATAATTCGTGGAAGGTCCACAGACATAACCTATATGAATTACCAACAGTAAAGATCAGAAGAATAAACGAAGCTAACAAATTTGGTTACAAAATTAAAAGAGCAACTGAACAAATACCTGTAGCACGCTTAAGAGAGGATCACAATATGCGTCATAGATGCGAAAGTAATAAAAAAAATTTTGCACTGTCAAAAATAAACTGATTTGGTTCCGTTCTAAATAGAATAATACAAGGCAAAATAAATCATGCTGACATAATATTAATTCACAATCAGCAATAGTTGAAATAAAAATTCTAGATATATACAAAAACGTTCCTTTACTTAACGGTTTTACAGAATTTCTTATGTCAGATCTTACAATACAACAAGTGCGAAGCAATGGTAAAAAAAATAAAACGTAACAGAAAGTAAAACGTTTTTCCAGAAATTTCATTCATGAATATTTTTTGCATCTTCTCAAAAAAAAAAAAAAAAAAGTGTTCGGATTTCCAAATTTGAATTACAAAGATAGATCGATTAGAAGCCTTGTCACTGAGAGTTATAATAAAAAGATGAGTTCGCAAGCACAGCCCTTCTTTCAATCTATTTTCCAATTTAGTGCCATTTTTGTAAAACCAACAGTAAAACTTACGAAGTGTTTCGGTATCTGTATTTTCCAACTTTATATTTTTCCATAATTGCATAAAATTATTTCCCACAAACTCCACCAATTCGTGGACAAAATATTTTTTTCCGGCAACTTGATGTGATGTTTCGGAAACAGGAATTGAAAAAAGATTCATAAGATAACGCTCTAATTTTCCGATATCTGTAATTTGGTTCTTCTATTACTTCACATTAAACAACACCACAATTTCCTACTACTTTTGTTCTTAGACTTGAACGATTAAATATGGCTTCATTTAAAAAATTTCCTGGAGTTCTGCCAGTAAATAAATTTTGGTTAAATAAATTTGAACTCATATCTAAACCAACTGAATCTTCGCATCGAATCATAGAAATAATTTACTTGATTCGGGTGATTCATGATGGAAATCAGGTTTAAAACACAATATTTCTAAAACTGCATTTATTGGAACATTCGCTGGTTTCACTGAGGTCTTCAAAATAAACTTCAGTATTGCACATCGGAAAGTCCATCCTCTCACTGCAGTTTCATCAATAGACCTGATTCAAATATTCAATGTTCGTTAAAAAGTTAGGTAAAATATTGACTGAACAACAGCTATTGCAAAAAACAACTGATATTAGATGAAACTGGAGAATGAAAAAGAGTGTACTGGGTTTCAAAATGTTCATCAAATTCGAAATTACTCAACACATGAGCCAAAAAAAAGGCTATTCTAGCAGTACAGATATTCAAGCGACTTATATTGCTCCAGATGATTTTAGTCACGTTGGTATCCTCTAGTTTTAACCTCCTCGCACCTGAATTTGAAATAAAGTTTACAAATACTTTCTTTCTCAAAAAATGGATATAATAAAACCTTGACATATCAAAAAGCGTACAAGGAATTATGATTTTGTGCAGCAAATGGATTGCAAATTCTGAAACATTTTGAGACTGTGACTGCAGCAATGAAAGTGTAAACTTCCATAGATATGTACAATGCTCCTTTTCAAGCTTTTCTATAACAGATGATTCCGCAACAGATGCCATAGCCTTCAAATACCATATCAGCAACCCTTCTCTGGAAATTACTTAACTAAACTGTTTAATAAAAATAGAAAAGAAGCCGGATTATTGGTTTTCAGTCCTTATACGCAAACGATAGCTCCATCGAACAGAACCTTTTTAATTAACTGGGATCCGGAACAAAAGTCAACCATTAATGCAGAAATGTAAAAATTATTGTCAAAAAATAAATTTTACAGGAAGCAGCAGAGTACGAAGCTGAATTATAAAATATGAATGTCCCTTTTGGAAAACTTTCCATTACTAAAAGAAAATTTACAGGAATAATCCGAGTGTTCCATAACTGGTTTAACAACTCATAAAATAAATATAGAAACCAAACAATTTTGTTACCTATGTACCGCAATCGACGATTGAATGATATACGCAAAAAGTTCCTTTTTCATTTGAAGTGACAAACGATGGCTCCATCGGACAAAAAGTTTTCCGATTAACTGGCACCTGAAACAGAGGCAAACTACTAAACAGAGGCAAACTATGCAAAAATGCAGAAATTATTGTCAGTTATGGTAAACCAAATTTCTGTGTTAAGCTTTAATTTTTTTTTTTTTTTTTTTTTACTCAAATTTTTATAACTATTTTGAAAGGGTTATTAGTAAAATGTGAACAAACCATCGCTCATCCTTTTCTTGAATCAGTGTAAAGAGCAGATGGCCAAAATGAGAATCATCGGTATTTTGTACGATATCAAGAGTAAGAAGCCTGGCTAGCAAACTAACAACTCCATCTGGTAATAACTGTATTTGTCCCATTCTTCAACAAAAAATCAAACATAAAACGATAAAACATGTCTACCACTTAAAAAAAAAAAAAAAACGTTGATCCAATGTGGCAGAAGATTAAACATAGTGTGCTCCCTTAAACAGACGACTTGGCTATTTAAAAAAAAAAAATGAAAGGAAAGCCCAGTTTTTTGATATAATTCTTATTCCATCGCAATGATACATATTAGATCACCAGTCTGCAATAGCTAACTCAAAAATTACCGGTATATATTCTTCTGAAGTATCGATAACCCATTCATACAGTTAATAGCCGCATCCAGAATCTGATTCAATAAAGCCCTCATAGAATTTGACAATAATGGAAAACCAAGAACGCAATCCGGGTGGTGCATTATAAATATAAATTCAATAAATTTGGACTGCTGTAAAACAAATATGAAGACTTATTGTTCTAAAAAGACAAAATGGAGTTGCTACTTAGTGTGGTTGCTACATCCTAACTCTCAGTCACACTGTTATATTGTCAGTTACTGAAAACCATTCAGCATAAACAAATATTCATATCTACAGTGATTACCTCATTCAATGATGATATCAGCTCCTCAGCGAATTTTCGTGACTGCCATAAAGAAATTGTATCAGTCCAAGCTCGACCAATTAAGTCAGAAAATTCTCGAGATTGCTCAAAAAAAAGAACATCAAAATTTGAAATTGCCACCCTTATAAATACAATGAAATGACTCCGTAACCACATACCATACTCATCAAATGCCAATTCTTAGCTCCAAATTCAAAAAAAAATTCATTAAAAATACGCAGAAGGTTGACATAGAAATCATCAGATAACATAAAAGTCTTATAACCCGTGTGGTAGCTAAGCCTGAAAAAAAAAAAAAAGTATATCCTTAATATAGTATTACTAAAAATTGCAATAAACTTATGATCCAAATGTCTTTTAGAATCCAAATCATTGGTGGTTTAACACTTTTGGGAATAAATATTACATTGAGATCTTCTGAAAAGAAAAAATAAAACTAAAATTAAATGAAAAGCTTTTCGGCTTATAAGAAAACTTACAAATATTTGCTCAACATTTCTGCAGTTTTTCCAGTCATCTGTTCTACAAGCAACATAAGGCCACAATATTTAGTAGCACGAGCTATTTGTAAAAGAATCCAAGAGCAAGTACGTAAGGTAGAACTATAATCACGAATACCAATGTAGCGTAGACATAACTGCATGCAGTTTGTCCACAAGCCTGGAAAAGATTTAGATTTAAAGTTAGAAGACTGGAAACTAAAGGGAACTTTTCTTTTTCTAAACACTTCATCTTTACCGTAGCAATGGTGAGATCTCAAAGTCAAAGTCGACTTCTTTTCCAAAAACATTGCTAATAAAGCAGTGACGTCTGCAGCGAAATTTCGATGCAAGACAGCGAGCTCACTGTCCACAACATGTCTTGCGTCTGACGACGTACAACGCAAAAGTCTCAGTAAATAATCCATGAGATCTATGTTAACAGTATCTGCAAATCCATCTGATCTTGAATCAATTTTATGGTATTTATAGAGCAATAAGGTTGTGTTGATAAAAGTATTAGAAAGTGCAACCACTATACAACTCTTAACAACGGAACCAGGCTTACCAATTTTTCCTACAAAATACCATAGAGCAGTTCTGAAAGCTTCAAAAGCTCGTCGATTGTATTTCTTTGCTGTTCTAACAACGTGATTTTGTTCCATCTCCTATACATTGAGTAAAGTCAAGTAAAATTACTGTAGCAAAAGTAAGCTGTGGATTTACCTAAAACGCCAATGTACATTTAAATGTTAGTTCTCTCATGATTTAGCTGATTTTCCGGATTCACATACTTGATAATAAGGCCATATGATCTTCACGAACTCACTCCCTGACGACAATCTTAATCTTTTGACTACAAAGGTTGTGAAAAGAAAAAGGAGTTACTAGAACTGCGCAGTCTCCTAGCTTCTTCAAAAGTTGATTATGATCTGGACTGAACGCATGGCCATCTGTTTGTAAGGCACTGAGGAATGTTTCATTTTCCAATATGCGATGCACTATTTGCCAACCATCCTTAATGTTTTGCATTAGTTATTATCTGTTTGTAATCATGTCACCAAGGGAGATATAAAATATGACGAAACATCTGAAGTATGTTAGAAGAATACGAGATATTTGCTTACAGCTGTTAGAGTCCCTTCTATACCACATATTTCTTTTAACTGCTTTGCTAATGAACCGAAATCCATCATCTTATGCCTGAAAAAAAAAAGAAATTCTCATGTCTTGTACTATACATTATGACTGGTTTTTGATCCCCACGCATTCATTTTTGCTGATAGATCATGCATAACAGTATCACAAGGCAATCACAAAGTCAGGAGAAAAAGAATGCACTGGCGGGTTAAGTATTGAAAAAGAGCACAAATGGACGAGAATGTGGCTCACTGGTGAAAAGTGAAGGGGAAAATTACCCGAAGCATCAATACTACATTTCAAAGAAATGATATATTGCACAGACTGAAACATCGCATAACACAAAGGACCAGAACTTCCCTAAACTCATCGCACCATCAAATACTCAACAAAGTGCAAAAAAGTATGCGCGCCAAAAAGGGCTGAAATTTCGAATACCGCGCCAACCTCAAAACATAGGCACACAATGCAAACATCAATTTCAACGGCATTTGGAATGCAGCTCTGTAGCACGGGAAAGTTTACTGCATTGAACGGAAAGTGATTTACGCAAGTTCACGTAGGTTAAAATAAATTCACAAATACATCAAATAGATTCTGTTGAAAATTTAATTGTTCTGGAAGTCATTAAATAAGTTAGCATTTCCATTCGTAGATTTTCGTCCCGTTTTACATTTTATAGTAAATGTATAGAATATCAATTATTATATTTGTTTGTGTGCATAGGTATTTAGATAGTCAATATATGTTACACTGACTGTCATAGTTTCTGTTGGTCTAAGAAGATTTCCTATAAACAATAATTTCTCTTTCTATAAATAATTTGCTATTGCAATAAAAATTAAACAGATGCATTTACTACTGTATAGTAAATCCACGTCAATAGTTTTAAACTGGACGAGTGCTCTGGAAATGGTCTTAGACAGTTTTTTGTTCATATATTACATTTCCCTTTTTCTTAAATTTTTTTTTCGATCAGAACAAAATATAACATCTTCTCAGTGTGTTATAATTTTAGTATTTAGTATTGATTAGATGAAGAAAACCTTCCTGAACTTAGTCTATCTATTCCCTACATTTTCTTGATTTAAAAAACATCGTTTTACAAACTTTTATGAATACAGGCACTATTTTTATGAAAATTTGCTGCCACCAAAGTAAAAATAAAAACATTGTTGACAAAAATCTCATGTTGCTTTAAGTTGATATTGATAAAGCTGGAAAAATAAGCTGTCATTGTTTCCATTTCAGGCTGTGTGACAGCTGAGGAATGATAGAGTAGTTGGGAAACCAGCGAGAGTAACTTGTATTGAAACAAACAAATAAATTTTTAAATAAAAAAAAATCCGCTGGAAGCCTTTTCTTGGAAAAATATTATTCCTTTCCAGTTGCTGAGGTAAATGCATGCATAGTCATATCAACCTAGAAATCAGATGAATGACTTGGCAGGTCTTATTTGATGCTTATTTTTAGTAATGTACTAGATTTAAAAGATCTGCTCCTCGAACTCATTTTGATTGTTAGATGATTTTTTGCATTTCAGAACGTCGTTTATTATGTAAAGACAAACTATCGAAAAAGCTAATGAAAATTAACGAAAATTTGTTGAATTATAGCTGGCACTTCTTTTTCGTAATCTTTAGCGGACTGATTGAAATACCTCACCCATTCCAAGAGCTGATTCATAAAATACATGAATTTTGTGCCTTACACATCATTTCGCTTTCATTATATTTGCTGCAAAACTGATTTTAAAATTTTACTCAAGCTGCGTTAAGATATTCTAGACAATTATACTTTCTCTATCTTAAATAAGCCGATTGACTGTGATTTCATCCTTCATTTTATGTTTCATAAGTATTTTCCCGCTCTGATGAGATCGAAGTATCGATAACATATAATAAATAATCGTCCAAATTCCTTACTGTAAACTGATCGACGATGATTCATTTTGTTGGCGAATGTGAGGACTTTTTTGACGAAGACGTATTGAATCCGAGCTGCTGTCCCATCCCAGAGTCAGGGATGAATGATAACAGCGCCGACGTAATCTACAATGAATGCACATGACCATTTTGGAAAACGACTGTGTAAGCATACTTAATGATACACCAGATTTGAAGGCATGATCGTTAAATCATTCCCTGACCAGTCCACTTGGTCGATCAATGTATAAAAGCATCTTTTTAAGTTGTTTGAAGCTTTCCAAAATTCATCATTAAGCTTGATGTTTCTCGAAATTATACCTCTTGCATTATGACAAAATAGGCCTAGTTCTAGAAGGAAGTTGGAATGCAAAAAATTTTCCTTTATTTGTACTTTACTAAATCTTTGTAGAAATTACCTTGAATGCAATTTATTAGATCGATCTAATGGAACGCAGCTAGGTACATTTGTATTATTCGTAGATATTTCAAGAGGTGTACTTCGTGAAAAATCAGCAAAAGTTTCATTCTTCTTCCTGAAAGATTTTTGAGAAGCAAGCATGTGTGTTAACGTCAAACACTGGTAATAACAACAGGGTTTTCCGATATTTACGACTGAATTGACAGTTGGATAATAAGACCTGATGTAGTGTAAACTATTTCAGGAATGACAGAACTACAACAACAAACCGAAGAGCTGGAATAACCGGTGAATGAACTGATCTTTTTGCATTATCATTCACATGTTCCTTTTTCTTCTCCCACCATTCCAGGTCATTTGATTCATCTCTTGAAGATGCTCTTTCTTCCAAAGTTTTTGTACCTTCTAGAAAGAAAAATAAGACTGCACTTCCTGGAGTACCGATTTTCAATGTTTAAATTGAACAAACTGCCTAGGGGAAACAGTCATCAAACAATAACAGCCTCAGCACATTATTATACTACGTATCAAAAAATTTCACCAATACTACTGATACTGTCGAATGAATACTACTTTCTCTATAATGATGATTACACTGACCGACACTGCAAGGAACATTACGTCTCATACGATTTTTCGCTTCATGACGGTCCTTCAATGCTATTTCTTCGTGTAACGCTCGCATGCGAGCTGCTCTACGTTGAGCTTCCAATATTTTTTCTTTTTCCTTACGTTCTTCTTCCTCAACCTCTTGTTGTGCTTTTCGTCTGTACTCCTCGAATCTATAAAACTTGTTTGGTTGAGAAAAATCTCAGCCTTCAAATTAATTGGGAAAATTCCTCAATGAAAGTGATATCAGTAATAAATTGAATACGTGTAAATAATCTTAAGTGTTGATATTAATTCTCATTTATTAATAACCTTACTTTATCATTTCTTTTCTTTCTATTTCCAGTTCACGTTGCTGTTCTTCCTCTTTACGACGTCGATTCTGCTCAATTTGTAATTGCAGGTCACGTTTATATTGCTCCGTTGAATCAATAGTGATCAATTTTTGGTAACATTGGTGTTGTACTGAGGGTGTTATCTTGTGTGATAAAGAATGCTCATGTACTGAAAGTTTATTGTATGAATAACTTTCCAACCTGATCATTGTGACACCATGAAAAGCAGTTCAAAACAACAGTGTTGCAAACCGAAATGAAGTTATTATAGATTTCTCAACATTCAAATTTTTTCATGGCAATTTTGCGCGATTTTTTGGAAGGAAAGGAAATATTAAGTTATTTTTCATTGAACTGCTAAGAAAATAATTCAACTGACGCTGCTGATTAGAAGTTTCGCACTGCGGATTTTGGAAAGTGGAAACAGTTGGACTTTCGTTGGTCTTCTAAAATCAAATAGTTAATGCAAAAGAAAAAACTAACATTAAAGACACTTCGTTACTGCAAAATTTTCAAGGTCCTCACATCATATTGGAGGATTTTTACAAATCAAAGAAAGGTCAAACGCAGAAAACGAAAAAGCAACAATTTTGGATAAAGAATGTAACTGCGGCGAACACATATTTATGGACCTGGAAATTAACGGTTTAACCTTATCAAACTGACATTTGTTAAATTGCAAGTTAAAGAGATAAATAGTAACAAACCCTATCAAACATAAAACCTTCTCTTGTTATCAAGACTGGTGTATGCCAAGAAGGAGTTCCACGAATCTCACTTTTTGGTTGAGGAGCATTAAGAGCCGATGACGAATTTATTGAGCCGTTGTTACTGAAAGGACCAAGCCCGAAAGAAATAAAAAATTTTTTGAACATGGAATAAAGCAGTTTTGGGTTGGTATAAATTTCAACAACAATTGTTATGATCTCACTATTTTTAGCAGCAAAAATAACTTGAAGAATTCTGAAGTACTTTAGTTTTACCCGCAGGTCATGGAGTGATTAATGCCACATGCTTCTGAACGCAATAATTTATTTTGTTCATTAATATTATCAGTAGACAATGAAGAGATAGCGACACTTGGTAAGTGAGATAGGTTAACCTGAAAAGTAGTTGGTTATAATGAAAACAGCGATGAATGCCTAAGTTTGCTCTCTAAATGCTGCTGAAAATCGTAAATCATAAATGAAATTGGGAACACTTCCGCTTTCCTTTTAATTTTGATGGAAAAGAAATTGAAGTTATAATCAGAGTGAAGAAAAAGCATTTTCATAGCAGTGAAGAGGACTTACATTTTGAAGTTGGGCATTGTTTGGAATGGTTACCAAATTTGCGGTTGTAACGAAATGGGGTATAATTGATGTTGAGCTACTATAAAGTGTGGAACTACTGGTCACTGGTTCATAATAAACCTTACAACCAATTTGGATAGGCCTGAGCTGCCATAGATCAGGCCTAAAGTTCGTTGTTTGCTCAAACATAACTGGTGTTGTTATTTGAGATGAAAACAGATGAGGTCTCCAGTGGTAAAGGTTGGTTGGAAAATCAAGCGGAATAGGGTAATAGACTGGGAATGACTGATGATGGTAAGGTTGCCATAAAGACGCTGTTTCAGATTGTAACATATGTTGCGGGCATTCAATATGATTATTGCAACCGGGCAAAACTTTTGCAGAATTACTTGCTGTATCATTTTGTGCAGTATCTTTGAGAACAGAAGTAGATATATTTATTGCCTGGCCATTTTTATAATTTGGTCTATAGATGGCTTTCTCTGACAAGCAGTGAGTAGAACATAAATTTACAGATGTATCTGGCAGCGAATTTGTTATTGTCTTGTCGTCTTCACTATTAATATTACCAATTATTGTTAAATTTGACTGAGTTGAAGGATTCCAGGTGTATGTTCGAACCATCCGGAGCACATACGTGAATTATCCTGAATATAACAAACACTATTTTGTTTTCAGCTTTTGAAATTATTCCTGAAAAAGATATTTAAAACATAATTGATCACGGAGAAATCCCAATCGTCGTAATAACGAGACGTCAGGAGTGACTGAATAATCTTGTCCTTTTCCTTTGTTTTGGCAGTTTAGTAAATATGAATCTTTCTCACGAAGTGGATTTAAGAAAATTTGATCATAAATATTGTTGAAAAAGTTTTTTTTTTTTCTTGCTATTATCATGAAAGCGGTTTACATTGCTTATATTACACTACCATTTAAAATGATTGCAAAGTTTAATTTGAAAACCTTATTGGAGTACAGGAATATAGATGGCTCGATAGAACCTAATGATATATATTATATTCTTGGTATTTCAGAAAAAGCTAAAAAACTGACAATAATGTAAGTAAGCCTGAAGTTGGGATTATAAATTGAAGGTTGAAATTACCAACTACTTCATGTGTATACTATCAATGGGTAATTTGCTTTGTATGATGAAATGATAATAATTTGTGTATGTATCTGCTGCATTCATTCCTGATTATCATTTTCATTTAAACAAGAACAGCTTCCCTCGAGTTATTTCCATGCGTTATTTTTTCAAATGTCGTTGTCTTGAATAAGGTAGTTATTATTTTTGCAAACGATGTTGAAGTAGAAAAGTGAAAAGTTGTAAATTTGTAACCAAAAGAAAAACGTGAGCTACCATTATGAAATATGTTATTTTGATGGAAGAAGTGTAAACGATTAATTAACGCACAAACATTGTGAAATATCTAAGAATCGAAATACAGAATCCAAATGTATTACCTCAAAGAAATATAATAAATAGAAACTAGCCAAATCATCACCCAAGTACTATATAATGGTTACCGAGGTAAATCATCATTGCATTTCTTAATTTCCCGAAGGAAGTTGCCGGAATATAATTTAAATTCATGAGCTATTTTCTGACAAATCTACCACTACCGATATTTCGTAATATTTTTGGAGCAGTTAGAATGTAATTAGAATTGCATAGCTAAGATTTTCCATTTTAATTGATTTTACATTTAATGCCCATTCCAATTTTGATTTCCATTTTTATGAGTATAAAATTACTCTTACAAACAAAAAAATGGAAATGTAAAAAAGAACAATCATAATCAATAATTTCATCAGAATATAAGTGAATAGTTCTCATGCTAAAAAAGAGTTAGTTGACAGGAAAAATTAATAATGAACATATGCAGTACAATGCGGACGTGCCAGCAGAGTAAGAGTAATATAAGAATGTTCTAACTTCTATAGGAATCTTTACTTCTCTTTCTAATGTGATATAAATGTATTTGTTCAAGTTGTAATTTACTCAGTATTTCAATATAGCAGACATTCAAGAATGAAATACATCATGCATATATATATATACACACACACGTACACATACACACATACATACATAGGCATATGTATACAAGGGATAAGTTGAATTTCTGTCGATCATGGAGTCCAGAGAATTAATGTTGTGAATGTGTTTTCTGAAATGCTTTTAGTTTAGTGAAGACGTTGCCAAGGTTACTCATGATATTGTAAGAAAATTGCAGCTGACTTAATCATTATGATTCGTGCTAAACTTCATTCCTTTAATCAGATCCATTTAAAACATATCTGAAGGCTACAATAAGAAATTGATGCAATTTCGATTTTAAACAAATTAATCAAGCGATCAACATTTTTCCAGAAACAAAGAATTGAAGTGAAACAACTATTTATCTGTCTTTACCTCATCCAACCTGTCTTTCTCTTACCATTTGTATTATAGCAAAAATTGATTGCAAATTATTAATCATTTCTTATGAATATTTCCAATGTCTGCATCTTACAGCAATTAGGAATTTAATAGAATTGAGTAAGTTGATTTTTTAATCCAGCCTTAAAAAGAAAAGTTCTCCCAAGTAGAGACAGTTTACATTGTCACTTCGTTTCTTTTGATTTATAACTAGCTAAATCTCACCAAGATATTTGTTAACTTCCTTCACGACCGCAAATTTTTGTTAGTGAAATCAAATAATGAAAATAATGGAAAAATTGGTCAGCTCAGACTTAACATTACAAACATCCATTATTCTCCTTTTTTTCAAATTATCAAAATAATTTGAAAACCAAGCATATTTGCACGTGATAATCCCACAGATCTCAAAATTGCACACTTTCTGAATGTTAATTTTTACAAATAAAGCTAAATATTGCTTTAAGCGCGAAATATCTGTTGTTGTATGACAAAGTCTTTGCCCAATTCTCACAAAAAAAAAAAAAAAACTCAAATAATTGAATTGAAGTCGTGATAATGAAAATTTCTGTTAAAGTTACTCCGCACTTTTTCTGATTTCGAAACGTTTTGACGACAATTCAGCTTCATTTTCTAAGCACTAACTGTCTTGGATTTATCGTTTTGGTCAGAAGAGTAGATGATTTGGATTAGTTAAGCTCCCTGGACTTACTTCAAGTTTGTAGAACTTGGAGTGAATCCTTTGCTTCTTGTCTGCCAGTAAGATCGACCCAGATATCATCTATTTTCTTTCAAAATGTGAATCGACACTACATTAAGTTGAATAATAGAAAACCGGAGGAATGAATGATACTGTTAATTAGCGGGGTGAGAAGACCGCCACCGATCGTTTCTTTTTTACCAAGTAATTAGAGAAGGTTTTTAAAGATGTAGGAAGTGGGCTGGCTTAGTAGATTAACATTTACAATGAAGACAGATGTACATTTACTATTTGAGATTTAGATAAAGAATTCATTGTTTCAAAAAAGTGGATATAACAAAGGAATAACGAATTGGTTTATAGTGATGAATCATTAGAATTATTCTAAACACTCAGTGTGTAATATTTTTTCGGTTTCCCGACATTACACTGGTAATACATTGTTGACTTCAACATAGGTTTTTTTTAATAAGTTATCCTAGAAATATAACTATCAGAACTATCAGATGTTGATCAATGGAAATACAAATATCGAAACAAATATGTTTGATAATGATAGCACTAAACTCAAAAATAAAGTCGAATTATAGCATATGCCCTTTGCCTTTTAAAAAAATCGAATGTCATAAAAAATGTCATAATGTCAAATATATATGCATGAAATAAATAATTAGAGAATTAGCCATCTATAGGATTCCGGGACTTAATTGATAACTGGATAAAACTTTATGATCAAGAACAATAATATGAAAAAATAGCAGTTCAATATATGATTACCATCAATCACTGTCGAAATAGTGTATGTTCATTATTGTTATATGTAAATTATCTCTATCGTAAATGATATGTCCAACCAAAATGTTACAGATCCATACTACTGGAATTAGACTGCTCCATTTTTGTTCGAAAAAGTTAGTTTAAAACACGCCTGAAAAGGACATTTCTCCTTACCCTTAATTTACCCATTAGTGGTTTCTATGTTTTTTATTGGATTGAGGCGATATTATATAACCACAAATATTAGAATGACGTGCTCAGAAAAAAAAAATCTTATGAATTCAAAATAGTCTTAAAAACTGACTGCTAGTGTTCACTAGCCACGCACTTGCAAATGATCAATTACCAACCCCTCTGCAATGATCAGTTTTGTCGTCTTGTTTTATCTTCAACAGATTATTAGAAGAAACATCAAATGTATGATTTTGAAACTATCCTGGAAAGAGCTGTGTTTGACTTATTGCTCAATGCGCTGCCATTTTTTGTATAATTCTCCCGAACCTTCGATTTTACCATTCAATTTGAACGGTTTCATATTAAGCAAAGCAATCAGTGGTGCACCATTTTCAACAGGAAATCCTGATCAAAGTCTTTTTTTAAAAGAAATATATTAGGATGAATATGAAAATATATCTTATAAAAAGATGAACATATAAAATTATACTACATGAAGGTAATTTTCCTTGCACCTTATACAAATGGTTTGGATATGTTGTATTCTGGATCCCTACTTGTTTCAATTAATGATTTTCAATTGATTTCGAATTTCTGTACAAACACTGGTTACAATACTTTGTGAATGCATATTTACTTAAAGAAGAGGGGATTTCTTCAGAAAATCTGAAGGATTTGAGATTGATTCTACACCCAAATTAAGAAGGATTTTATTATCGTATTGGGAGTATAGCTCCTGTGAAAAAGGGTTAAACAAATAACCAAAGCATTGGCTCAATTACACTATACAAGGTCGCAAAAGTCAACCAAGAACCAAATCACTGCCGTCTTTAATTTCTATTTTGCTGTATAGAATTACATATAGCTGATTCAAAGAACTTATACATACTTCCAATTAGCATTATCACATAAGCAATAAAAAGATCACGTCAAACTTCATATTACCTTTCTTTATGATTGATTTTGCTCAAGTCAACTCAACTAAAAAAAAATACCGTCATAGATGTTCCTTATCCTTTGTATATTATTTCCGACAGCCGATTGCGACTGCAAAATTGAAAATATGCCGTGTTATTTCGCAAAACATCTAATATTCAACTCAAATATAAGTGATAAATCTTCATTCACAACCATCTTTTGTAAGCTAAAAAAATCATAGTTCGTTTTCCGCCACTTTCCTTGCCAAACAACAAGCACTTTTATAAGCGTTATTGCAATAAAAACATAATATACCACATCCACTAAAATATATAAGAAAAAAATTGTCGAGACATAAAAATGGGCAATGATTTCGTTACTGATGTTAGAATATTTCAGATGTTGATCAAAACATAAATACGTCAAACAGAAGCACAATGTTAATGCCATGAATTTTAATATAAAGTATTCGCACTACCGTGGTATTTTTGAAAACACAAGGAAACTGAGTTTCATATAAAGAGAGACACAAGAAGACATCTATGCTAAACCAAGTTTTTGCTTTTGTTTTCTTTTCTTTTTAACTATATCCATATTTCGTTCTTTCCAATTGCTTTTTCTCAACTTTATTGGCCTGTTTCCAACATACTTTCCATCCATTTCACGACAGGCACGAACGAAATCCTAAAAAACAATTTTAAAATTCTGCTGAAATTTCAATTCCAAGACGTCCACATGAAAGTACACAAAATGAATAACTGAAAACAACTGACATCCTGGTGTTTAAAGGAAACAAATCCATAGCCCTTTGATTTATTAGTTCTAGCTTCGCGAATGACTTTAGCTTTTTGGAAGCTTGGGTATTTACGAAAGGCTTTTGCCAATAACTCATCTGATACTTCGTTCCCCAAATCACCACAAAAGATGCGGAAATCATTCGGATCCCATTCTGCCAACGACTTATCTTCCCAAACCTAAAATACATATTGAAGATAAAGAAAATAATTCAAATGAAACGAAATATGAATTTGCTTTTCTGAGTGTGAAAATATAAAACCCAAGTAAAGAAAAAAAAATCATTTATTCTGATTCTTTATTACCTGCCCACCACCGCAACGCAAAAATCGTTTCATCTTTTTCTCCCCACGCATAACTTGACCAATATAAGTGGAGCGATGAGTTGATTCGGAATGTATTTTTTGTGCAATAGCTTCTATATCAGAGGTTAGAACCTAAATAATTAAAAAAAAAAATTATATAATCTGAATCATCAGTTATGTCCAGTCTTCCAATGTAGCACAACTAGAGATAAAAATGTACACAGGAAAGATAGCACAAAGTCCTCTAATGTGCTAGCTATAGACAATAAAATCAATAAAGTTTTGTACAATTTGATAACCTGAGTTTTCAAAGAGCTAGTTCCTGCCTCTCCATTTTTCTCTTTGTCTCTATTATCGTCCTTTCTCATTGCATCTTCGTACAAACTAGGTCCCGATTCAAGAACACTTGGTTGAGGTGGTATATGCACTGGTGGACGTATAAAACCAACTAATGGCAGTCGAAGCTGAAATTTAAAAAGCTGCATTAGTTAAATACTATTGAAAATGCAATACCCAACAAAATTCAACGTTAATATAACTATGGAAAATGATTAATCCACAGTCTTACCTGAGGTGGTATAAATCGCATGGATAAATTTGTCTGGGGAACAAAACCTGGACGCATCATTACATGAGGTAAGAAGCTGTAAAACAAACCTATTTGAAAAGAGTACTGACTTGAATAAATGAAAAAGGTGTTCAACAACATACAACAGAAGACAAGAAATAATGGTACCATATAAAAGCGATATGTATTATATCACACTGTAAAATCAAGAACGCGTTAAGTAAACTTACGGAGGAGGTGTTGGACGCACTACAGGATTTACGGGATTTGCTGCTACAGAACCGCTGATAAAAGGACCCATAAACAGTTTTGGTTCAGGTTGAACAGCGGGACCGATGGATGGCTGCACTGATGGATGTGAGGAAACATCATTACGAGTAGAAGAAACTGCTGCTGCATTTGGGGAAGTTTGCGAAACGTCCGTCTGACTGACAACAGTATTTGTTGTAACGGTAGATGCACTGCGAGGATGTGATTCTACAGAAGATATTTCTTTTTCAAACCTGAAAAAAGAAACAATATATAAAACGTTACTAGCTGCTAGTAAAACAATGAAATAGCTCAAATCCTAACAGTGTGTATGTAATATGATCCATAATGCTAACTCCATAAAATAAGTTGTAAAAAACTTGCTTTACTTTTTCACGAAAATACCAGCAAAATAAAATAGAAAATTTTCTCGGTAAAGCACAATAAGCATCACGAATGTCCGACAATTTACTACGGTGTGTTTCATATTGAGCAGCATAACTACATGCCGATATGGTACTGGAAAACAGGCCAACCAACCCGCTGTCAAAATACTATATTTAATTCTATTATCAAGCCGAATAACTACATAAATGTGCATACAAATGTTGAACAAACTAACAGAGCCAACTCATCTTCGATACTGCGACTTTCATTAGCAATCATTTGTTGCCCTACAAATAAAAAAATAAAAAAAAATCATTTGTTGCCCTATAAATAAAAGGTCCAAATGTTACCTACAATGAATAACAAATGGAGTTATAAGTGCAATATACAACGAAGCTCGTTGCAAAAAAAGACCGAAGAATGCACAACTCGATATTCAACAGCTAAAACCTATCCACCAAAAAACATAACGTAAGAACACCATGACTTGACCTTCCGACTCAACTTATCATCCCCACCATAGTACTACTTAGTTCCACAGCTTTCCAAAATTGCCGAAACTACCTCACCTCTGAGACCAGCGAGTAAAGAGAGAATGAAAATTACAGAAAGACCGATAGATCGACAGAACTAAATAATAGCACAATAATATGAGAGACGGCAAGATGAGAATTCTCGAGACAACGATTGAGTTGGTAATTCAAGATAGAGATGGCCTCATTACTGGAAAGTTAACAGTAGAGTGGCGGTAACATGAACGTACTCTTCGAGGTTTTGGAAATTGGGAAAGAGAGAGTGTGAGAAGAAGGGGTTTCAGGGACTTCCTCAGGCATCTTTCAGGGTTGGTTTTCTAACGAAAGTCTGTTACTGATGTAGGTATGAGTATTTGATCGAGAAGTAAGGAAAAGAGCCGATGTGACAGTGTTTTTATTTTAAGTTATTTGTCTTACTCAGTATCCGATGAAGAGCAATGCTGCAGCTGCCGCAAGCTTATTCGCGGACGATGATGATGGTGATGCTGAATTCTCCCGTAAGCTTCTATGGATATACGAGAGTATATAGTGTTCTTCGAATATTCAGTATGATACAACAATGGATATATGGAATGATCATTAATTGTTGGATTAACAGATGAGAATGATGAACGAGATGAAGAGAAGCAGTGTATGATAACAAAGGATTTCCTTGTCGGCTTGTCATTAACGAACAGTAAAGACCATATTAAAAGAGAGCGGTACCGCGATTATGTCCAGTCGATGTTAGCACTCGGTGAAGGTGAGACGGTCATTGATCTTGGTGTTTCAGCTGATGATACTACAAAACGAGGTATGAGTTGTTTGCATGAGTATTTGAACCAGCTGGCTTCCTAAAGTAATGTTTATAATGAATTGGTTTTTTTTTTTTTTTTTTTTTTTTTTTGGATTATTGCAGGTTTGTCGAAAGATGATTTAGAATTGTCGGAGAAGAAACACATAGCACTTTTGGAAGAGATTGGAGTAGTTTCAACATGTTTAGTGACCAGAAAGCAGAGCGGTCTTTACACACGTGCTCATCTTGTTCGAAAGAAAATAGATCCTGATGATTTTATCGAGGTTTATTTTTCTTTCAGCATTTTAAAAAAGCTTTGAAATACTGTGATGTTCAGTTTGTATTTGGTTTCAGGTGCGTGTGGCTGTTTTAGGTAATGTTGACGCAGGAAAATCAACATTATTGGGTGTGTTGACATATGGCATCCTGGACGACGGCCGTGGACAAGCTCGACAAAAGTTGTTCCGGTAAATTTACCTTAATAGTTGTCTAGGATACCACTTAGTCATAGTGCACTTTCATTCGCCGTGAAACTCTTACTTTCAGACACAAACATGAATTTGAGTCAGGTCGAACTTCGTCCGTAGGAAACGACATCCTAGGTTTCGATATTAGCGGTAACATTGTCAATAAACCTGACTCGCATAGTGGTCATCTTGATTGGATTACTATTTGTAATGATTCCACTAAGGTATTCCGGTAATTTTGAAGTTCGGGAATGAGTTTTTTGGATTTTTTATCAGATTCATTCTAATGAAGTTTTTTGTATCTACTGTGTCTAATAATTTGAAATCTAAATGATTTCAATTTATTCGTTTTCCGCTTTAGGTAATCACTTTCATTGATCTGGCAGGGCACGAGAAGTATTTGAAAACAACAATATTTGGAATGACTGGACATGTTCCGGATTACACGATGTTGATGGTATATTGTTTTTTGTTATGTGTAAATTTTTTATAAATATGAGAACTCTATATTTTTCTAAGCTTGCTGTACTTTCAATTAATCAAAAAGTGTGTGGCTATTGTCATCAGTGAAAGTGAAGAAGTTTGGAAAAGGAATAAAGATTGTGATGAAGGTTTGGGAATAAAATAAAAATTGGATTTTTGGATGAAGAGCAGCTGAGTTCGAGATTTCTCACTACGAAGTGAGGTAACACATATAATTAAATTCAAAAACGCCCTTTGCGTTTTCTCTACGATCTGATTAGTTTATACATCACCGTTGACACTGAACTCATTTTTGCACCTTTGTTGCTAGTGATTCAAACCATAAGCGATGTTAAGATAGTATTTCTTATCATAAAATATTATGTTTCTGCTCTCCCAGTTTTCGTTATTATTAAAAACTGGTCTACTCTATACTGATTTTGAATACAAAATTGACGAGGCAGTAGTGATTTTTTCTGAGATAAAGCAGTGTGTGATAAAATACAATCATATGTTATTTAATACATTATGATGCGTTCTACAATATTTTGCAACTGTAGATTGGCGCGAATGCTGGCATTGTTGGAATGACAAAGGAACACCTATCTCTTGCTTTGTGTCTCAATATACCGGTATTTATGGTTGTTACGAAAATTGATATGTGTCCTGAGCGGGTAAAATCTGTTTTGTTCTCTTTTCATTTTTGCATTTCGGTTTTTATCTGCCATCTTTCGGAAAACTGCAGTAAAGACAAAAGATTTTATGTTTGTGAGACCTAGTATAGCAATGGGATTGTTCCCGGACTTATTTCAAAAATTTCACGAGACTACTAATTATTGTCTATGTTTCTCACTTTTATTTAAAAACATTTTATTGAGAATCCATCTATTATTGTTTAAGGTTCTATCTGAAACAATGAAGAATTTGGATAAACTGATGAAAAGTCCAGGGGTACGGAAATTGACGGTTGTTATAAAGAATTTGGAAGATGTTGTTCATGCTGCTAGCCATTTTAGTAGTGGAAAGTAAGTTTCTGAAAAAGAATAAGGGATTGAACCTCCTCGTGTTTTCTGTCTCTATTGATTTCTGTTTTTTTTTTTTTTTTTTCATCCGAAAAAATAACATTTTCAGAGTCTGTCCCATCTTTCAAGTATCGAATGTCGTTGGTACTAATTTGGATTTACTTTCCGCTTTCTTTAATCTCATCCCACTTCGACGAAAATTTTCTTTGGATAGTCCAGCCGAATTCCAAATAGATGATGTATATTGGGTAGATGGTGTGGGTACTGTGGTCTCAGGCACATGCATGGCCGGTAAGTTATTTCTTGTTGAAAATAAATAATGCTTCAAAACTTTGTTGCAATAAAAAGTGTTTCACTTCGTATACTGTTTGCAGTACGCTGTAGAATAACCATTTTGCATTTTCAGGTATGATTTCACTTAATGACACAATGTTAATTGGACCGAACCCTTATGGAGAATTCATTGCAATTCCAATAAAGTCCATTCACCGAAAACGAATGCCGGTATCAAAAATACGGTGTGGTCAAACTGCATCATTTTCTATTAGGTAAAATTTGTGTTTTTGTGGAATTGATTCTTTTTCGGTTTTCCGAAAAACCTTCTTGAACAGAATTTTAAATTGTGTATTTGAGAAAGGTATTGATGACTTCGAAATACATCCAAATTGTTTAACAATTCCTAAATGAATATGTAATGTAGAAAGTTGAATAAAAAGGAAGTACGAAAAGGAATGGTATTACTTTCTCCAAAAATGGTCGTGTTTTCGTCAGTGCAGTTTGACGCTGAAATACTCATCCTTCACCATCCGACTACAATTGCTGAAAATTATCAAGCAATGGGTATATTTTTCAGCCCTTCCATTATTTGTTTGTCATTTTGTTCCGATGAAAGTTAGTAACGTTTATAAAGTGAATATTTCCAAAGGCTTAAATGTTAAAATATCAGTATAATTTCTTGAAAGTCCAATAATTTATCCGAGGAATTAAGGGAGAATGATAATATTGTCCCACTAAACTACATTTTTGAATTCTTTTTCTAGTGCATATTGGCTCGATTCGCCAAACGGCAACCATAGTACGTATGACAAAAACAGTATTACGTACAGGAGACCGTGATATGGTAACGTTTAAATTCATCAAAAATCCTGAATATCTATCTGTTGGAAGTCGTATGGTATTTCGTGAAGGTCGGACAAAAGCTGTAGGAACAGTCGCTAAAGTTTATCCATATACTCCCGCTCTTCCAAAACAGATCCGACCGAAACACATGAAATGCAGAGGTAAATTATTTATATTTTCATGAAGTCGTCATTCACATTCTTCCCACGCATGATAATGATTTATATAATTATTCAAAACAGTGCAAATAGCACAGTAAACCGAAATTATCATACAGGCATAATTATAATATACAAATTGTGTTACTAGTAAGAAACATACAATTCAAAATGACGAAATACGGTTCAAGTATATTATGTATTTGCCTCACTCCTTTATAGTTATTTTCAAAAGTTTGTTAATAACAAGCAGCAGAGCCGAGAAGATTACTTCAGCAAGATATATTGCAGAAGGTTGGCACAGTAAAAAAGAATTTAACAGTAACGCTGGAAAAGATAAAGAAATGAATGTGAACTGATCTGCTTGTATGCTAGGTGGAAAGCGACTTTGTGCAACTATATTTGCTAAATACGAAAGCGGCGAAATGTTACTGTAAATAGATGTTTATTGTTTTATGTTATGTTATTTCTTTAATACATTTTTAAAATGTCTCTAGAATTACCGGACGGGGAGGTGAGGTGGGGGGGGGGGGGGGGGGAAAAAAAAAATAAAATATGGTAGCCCTTTCAAACACTCAAAACCTGTGCTCTGAGTTTTAGTATAAAGCATTTGCATGTTTTGAAAAATAATATGCTACTTTGCAATCACTATTGCTTACTGTTAGTGATGGGAATTTTATGGTTAAGCTGAATGTTTCCGAATTATTTCTTGATTAATCTTTATTTGTTCGTGGTTTGAAGTCCACAAGAAGAAATGAGTTTTGACGAAATTTTTGTAGTAGTGAATATTGTTAGTGCTGGATCATTGCGGTGGTGTGGATCAGAATCTATTTGTACTAAATAAAATCTTGGCAATAAAATTCAAAGTCATCTTGTGCTCTACCTTTTTTATGCAGATGATTTTTACATCTTGAGGTATAAAGTGTGAAACATATTAGATAATGTAGATGAATGTGACTGATGTCATGTATGGCTTTCGTCATATTATGAAGAAAATTGCTAACATGTGACGAGAATGATGTTAGCAAGATATGATGAACAGGCGAACTGTTTTGATAGTAATGAGAACAACAGCGGAATAAATAAGTTTGTAGTCGATTTTTGTATTGGAATTTTTGGGTCATATGATTCCTTGCATGGATTCCGGAATAGATTATGGTTTCATTTTCGTTTACCATGCTTTTGAGGTTAAAGATTCGTGAAATTTTGAAATAAAATTTCAATGAGTACGTTAAAGGCTTAGGATTCTGTTGTCGGATTTAATGCGTTTGAGCGACCAAATCAGACATTTCCTCAAATCGACCCGTACCGTTATCGTTACAGTCTATGATATCGATGTCATTAGTTAAATGAATAGTTAATAACAAAGACTGAGCAAAGTGGCATGAAATCTGAGTCAGCTAACTCTTTACTAATCTCACCAACTTATCACCTCAGATGATATCCATAAAACACAGCCTGCATTCATCTACAAAAGTTAAAACGGTTTGGGGATCTGGAATATGATAAATTTTTACTACTGGTAAAATAACTACTGGCAAAAAAATAGTTTTTTGATGGGATTGTTAAACCTACAAATGCTACAGTGCTCGAGATGGGGCAGGGCAGTGCTTGAGAATATCGATATGGAATGTTGTTTTTATCACTTTTATCGACGTCAGCGGCCATATGTCATATATCCATAGTATCCGGTACCTACCGGATACTGGCCATAGTATGCGGCCGGATAAGCGGTTGGATAACCGCCGTATGTACCATATCCGTATGGCAGCATTGCTGAAGACTTGTCATAATAATTTGGCATCATATATGCACCGTGTTTTGCTTCAAAAGCTCTTTCTTCTTCTTCCTGAAAGTTAAGTATTTTCGGTGTTATTTTAAAGCTGAATCGTTAATCTGTTGCATTGTGGTGTCAATAAAGTAAAGTGAGATTATATGAAAACTGTTGTATTCATTAAGTACTTTCAAAGGAATCTTAGAATAATATCAGTAGAAAGTAGGAAATGGGAAAAAAGATGTGAAAGAATTCAAGAAAGAGTTTAAAGTGGGATGGAAATTGTGGAGTGAGTGGATCGTGTGTTGGGGAATTGAATCAGGTCATGTGGAGTGAATGGAGTGTTATAACAGAAAACTGATTCAAATTAACTGACATTTTTTACTTCTGAAAATCGTTATTTAAAGTTTAATCTGGAACGGGAAATCGATTTCAAATTTCCAAACTCGATATTGTAATTTTAGCACAAACTTTTCAGGTTTTCTTAATACAAACGAGAATAAAAAAGTTCATGCTTCCGATATTTTCTGCTATCCATACTTGAACGAAGAAAACGCGATCCTTATGAGAATATGTTTCTCTGTAGAGAACTTGAAAAAGTGAATGAAACAAACCTGGATACTATAAATAGCTTTCTGTGTTTATAAAGCTTGTTTCAACTTGTTTGGCTTTTGTTTGTTTACCTTTTCACTGCTAATACATTTATTTATTATTGCTTATGAGAATTAATACTGCAGTAATATGAATAACAATGTGAATGGAAGCGAAGAAAGACAAGAAGGTGACAAGATGGGCATAATTTTGTTCAGAAATAATTTCATGGTCACTTTGTATGCGCATGTGTAATATATGTATGTGTGGTTTGTCCCATTATTTTCTTCACCTTGTTCTTGCAAAGAAATTATATGGAGAGATATTCAGAAAGAATGTTGTACAGATGGAATGAAATACGAAATAGTGAGGAGAGAGGGATGGATAGAGAAGACTGAAATGTTGAACCTGCGGGTACATATGGTGGAATTTTTGAGCATCATTGATATCAGTTGAGTTCAAGGCCTTTTGTATAGCGCAAAAGATCACAATTTTGGCTTTAGAAATGGAGACCACCTACACCAACCATACACACAAAGTGGACATTAAGCCTTATATAAAAACGATCAAAATTCTGAGCATTATCTATGCAAGTACTAGTTTGCTGATTAATGTAAAGAATGGTTATCTACCAATACTTCACTGATCTATTTATCAATACTACACTATATTCCCGAAATAATGAATGGAAGAGAAAATACTAGAACAGTGATATGCGTTTGCATGACTGTATGTACATATACGTACACGTGTACGTATTTATATTCTTCTCTGATCTATAAATATTTCTATCTATTATCATGAAGGAATCAATAGCGAAACGAGTAAATATGTGTAAAATGAAAACAAAATCACGAAGGACAACTGATTTAAAACACTATAAAAAAAGTGACGTTATACCACAAAAATATTTTGGTCATTAATAGGTGCTACTAATATATGCCAATTGTTTCGAAGTGTCAATTGATGTTTGAGAAATGAACAATCAATGGCGAACTGATAGATTTTCAGAAAATGGTCAAAGTTTACCTTGATTTTTTTGTATGATAATAGCATGAATGTTGATGCAAGTAGTATAAATGCAATGCCAACCCAAGATACTACATAGGACCAACCATAACTGAATCGTGTTCCCTGTTTCAAAATCTGTAATTTTTTTTCATTACTGGAAATCTCTAAACCGAAAAATTTTTTTGTCTCAATCGTTTGATAAGCTTACCGGTTCCCAAGATTTATAAAAAGGTGGCATATCCAGTACATGCCTCTCTAGATAATTAACCAAATGCCAGCATGCCATTGAACCAGCAAGGAACATTACTGAAATTTATTCATAATTTCAAAAGATGAAAAATGAAAAAAAAAAAAAAACAATTTTATCTTGGACGTAAAGATTGATCAAAAACTTGTACATAACATAGTTTTTCTTTTCCTTTTTTTTTTCCTTTTTTTTTTTTTTTTTTTTTGGGAGAGGGAGGAGGGTTTCTTACAAATAACACGCTGCATAGGAAAGTTTTTTTTCCAATTATGAAATTGAGTTAAACCTTATTTCTCTCATTCCAAAAGTTTATAATGAACATTTGCATGGAATACAATATTCACAATTATTTTTAGATATATGAATTCCTCATAACTCCTTGAAATTAATATCAAATTTTTTGATCTCAAAATAATTGATAATATTTGGAAACACTGTTTGATACATGACTTTATTCATTAGATTCCAAACTTTTTAAAAACAATTTCAAGACTAAACAGTTTAGTGAAACTATTACAAAATCATAGATGCGAAATCAATTTTCCGTTAAACTAGTCAAACTTGTTGAATATCTGCTTCTCGCTTTCTTGTAACTACTGATTTGTGTATTGTGTTGGTTCCGTTATTCATTAGAATGATTAGGTTCAAATGAGATTGATATGAGCAGAAGATGGATGCGGTGTACTCTATATTTAGGTCAGTTTGTTATTGGAGTTTAACAGTCGCATCTACCTCGTTATATCTAGCATTAAAATTTGAAGTTGGATTTTTTTTCTTTTTTTTTTTTTTAAAAAATCCAAACCGCTGTAGTGGTTAAGCAAAGCACTCAAGGGTTGAAATTCTCGGACATTTCACTTAGATATTTCTTTGTGTTATGAAGTGGTTATAGCCATTTCATATAAAGCAAAGCTGAGGTCTATTTCCAGGTAACTATTAGCGTGAGAAACATCCATTGTTCCACTAATAGATAATAAAACACGAGTGGTACTGAGAAGCGTAAATGAGTTACGGGAAAAAACTCGTGCACCTTAAACGCATCACGCCGAAAAGTGGCTGGTAGCTGATAAGGGACGAAAGGGAACTTCAAATGCTTAAGTTAGCAAGCTAATGTAATATAAGTTCGTAATTGTAAATGATCAAGAAGTGAAATCCTAAATCATTTCTGAAAAGTTAATCAAACATTCAATTTTTTTGAGAGGAAAAACTGCTTTTTAATTAAAAAAGGAAGAAATAAAAAATGAATTGGGCTTAACAGGTAGTAAGCGCCTGATCAATCGAAGAATATACAACTAACTGTAACTGAAAAAGGAAAGAATTAGCGGGAGTTACCTGAAAAAAGCATAAGTAATGCAGTTGTAAGAACTATTTTTGTGCTTCTTCGCCAACAACCGATCATACCAAATACAGAACAAATAATGAACACGACCAGTCCCAAAAGATATAATATTGCAGCTCCCCACATGGCATAATAACGATATGTTTGTAAACTGTCGTATTTCTCATATGCTGCATCCGAAGGATGATAATCGTCATTCCAGATGCACGGTGAACCAAATTTGGAAAAGCTTCCGATATCTAAGAAAGTTTTCGCCATGTTTTAAAATTTCAATTTAAATTCAGATTCTAAACCACTAATTCATTCTATTTATTCAAATTATTGAATTATTATTAATTTTGATCCATCTTCCTATTGTAAAGTAATCGATACTGCACGCATATACACTCGAAATTATACTTTC